ACACAAACGGTGTTATTAGCGAAATAAATAGGTAAGAGTTGGTGTAAGGTACAGAGTTCAACCACTACTGCTGATGTAATAAATACAAAAAAGCTGAGTTAATTCACGGCAACAAAGAAATAGCTGCCCTTTTCAGAGAGGTGACATGTGACTGAAGCCTGAGGGATTCTGTAGCCTAACGCTTTTATATATGCATATATAGTTCATTCATAACCTTTATTTGCGGAGATTTGTAACCAATTTTATGCTGATCATAAAGCATTAGGACCTGTGTCTTGACTTGTCTCCTGGTAGTTTGAGATTGTTGAACCACCAAAAAATATGAAAAGGATTCGGAAACGTTAAAATTTGATAATAGCGAATTATTTTCATCAAAATATTTATTGGATATTCGCATAACAGTCCGAGGATGATACATCTTAATAGTAGCCAAATTTATCGCAACGTATAACTCTGATGCTGAGGAGTCGTCGTGAAAGATAATTTATCTGGTATATTACCGGGCACATATCCGATTCAGATAGTATTTATCTAGCAAAGCTAATATGGTCGATAATTTCGTTGAATGCTTCAAGTGCCATGCGTCTCACGGAACGGATTAACACTGTCAATATTGAGATACATTACTCTAAGTCATTTACTCAATATACTTCTCTAAACCTTGTTCCAAACTCAGTTGACATTGTCTTCGTATCCAATTATATTCCTAGAAAAGAAACTTTGGACGCTCGGAGAATTTGTGCTTGTTTTGGGAAGTATAATTTTATTTAATCAGATGACTCAATGAGAATAGATGATAAACGTCCATCATCCTTTATTGACAAATACATAGTTGAAATACGTCATAAGATTGATGATGTACGAAAGTGTAAAGGACATGTACTGAGGTTTACTGGGGCCTTAGCCATACGGAAATTCAAACCCTCCTTATATTTTCGAACACACTTTGTTCTCGTCTCAAAACTACCCTGGTATTATTAGCTTATTATTCACAGTCATGAGGCTTCAATTTGTTTTCCATATTATTTTCTTCATTTCCTTTGTCCCCTCTTACCCTCCATTTCCAGTCTATTTGACCTTTTATTTTTACATATAAATGTTCTCAACAAGTATGTGCGTGATCAGATTGTTTGAAATTTATTGCGTTAATCTACTACATAGTTCTGATAATCTTCGTCTTGTTATAACATTGCCTAAATTTATCAAAGGGACTCACCACTTCAGATATCCATTTAATTTTTACGTCTAGATAGAAAGGATGCTGTGTGTTCAGATCTCTTTAGCTATTTTGAACCTATGTCTTGTCAGTTTCGGCAGGGTACCCGTAGAGATAACAAACTTTGTGGTCAAAGTAACGACAAGCCTATCGATAATTTTGAGATGCAAAAGAGGCTGTTAAGCTTCAGTGTTCAACATAAGATTAGAAAATAAGGTAGCTTTTAGTCAGCTTATCAAACTAAGTGATCATAGAATCAGGAGAGAATGTAAGTTGGAGTTACTGGTCTGTCGAAAGAGGCAAAATAATCTCAAATGGCCGTATTTGGGGTTTGTGTATTTTGTGCCAATTTGGATTATAATGAAGACTTCGTAAGCATCTCGCAATAGCTGATATTCTTTCTTTTTGCCTGTATAAATAAATGAGTTAGCCATGCAGGTTTGGTTACCTCGAGGACCTCTTTCATCTTTTTGTCACACATACATTACTCTATCAGTAAGATTTTATTGACATGTAAAAGGTTCCTAGTGAAAAGAAAATCCATTTCACAGCAAACGTCAGGTTTAACAAAACAACTTCCTGACTTTGACACAGACCATACACACTGAGAATTTATTTTATGACGAGTCAACATTATATCACGTCCAAAAATTCTGGTAGGACAAAGAAGTTCGTCAGCAAGCACCAAAGTACTAAATCCCATAAGTTTACTAACTGGGAGGAGAAATGAGAAAATCGCGCATTAGAATACTTGCGAACTTCCAAGTGATATGGATCTATAATCTACAGAATCTACTGCCTGATGGCGATAGCACTGGAAACTTCCAATGATTTCTTTAATTTATAGATGAGTGCTATATAATGATTTGTAGGAGATTATCTCCATACATTGTTAAATTAAATTGGTGGTAGTACATAGTATAACTTGTGAAGTCAGTGTGCCCGCCGGCCATCAAACTGGTTGATGTTCTCCGTTTCATAAAAAATTTTAGATAAGGCATCTGATGTCACAAACTTCTGTCTGCTATGAACGTCCGTGTACTGTACTATGAGATGTCTGGTGAAAAATAATTATGTAGGAAAGGTTAGTGTGCAAAGTGAAATCTACGGTTAAAATTCTCTCTTGAGTGCAGCAATCAATCACCAAACGAACGGGAGAATATTTGGGAATTCAAGATATTCCACACTTACTAAGTACTGGAAACGAGCCGATATCCTTACATATGTTAATGACATCATGCATCTTTAATAGTCTTACAGAACATTTAGTTCCGGCTGCATCGGAGATTACAGAAGTGATGGAACCCCACTTCTGCTTCAGTGAAAACCCTTGGGATTTGTAAGTAGTAATGTTAGCAAAATAGAGATCATGTAACTTCGTTTAAAGTTATTCTGGAGTTACTGCAGTTCCCAAGCATGGGTAAAGTTGAAGGGTTACACGTGGGATCGGCAACTTCATTCTGTAGAACACAAACGTGCTGAAAGACGTTAACCGGACAAAAACAATTAAAACCAATAAGACTCTGTCGATCGATTTCAATGATGTTCATTCAGAAGAATTATGGAGCCTCATGATGAAAGCCGAGATTTTTCGAGTCATGAAACTGATTACCCTTCTAACAATCAGAACGACAATCAACATAGATATATGAAGTGTTCGGAAAATGTGAGGGAACAGAAGTATCAGTCAGATAGCTATGGAAATTGGAAAGCACAACTTTACAGTTTTCGAAATCAACGAAACTTATTGGGCGAAAGACGCACAGAAAACGATAGATTCGGAAGAGATGCTGCTGAACTCCGGTTATGAAAAAGAAAATGCTCCACACATTTAGGGAGTCTTTCATCTTGTCGAAAGAAGCACGAAACGAATTTATAGGACGGGAATCTCATAAACTCAGAATTGTCAAAGCATCCTTCAAAACATAGAAAAATCGCAATGAATGTTAACCGATGTTATGCATCAACCAATGATAACAGCGAAGACGATAAAGGTCAGTTCTACGAGATGCCGTAAGCGCTCATAGAGACGTGCTCAGGAAAGAATCTGACTATCCTCATTGGAGACCTAAACACCAAGGTCGGAATGAGCAACTTGGGGTATAGAGATGTTATGAGACGACATGGATTGGAAGGAACGAACGAAAACTGGGAGAGATTCGCAAATCTATGTGCATTCAACAACATGGTTATAGATGGCACAATATTTCCTGACAAACGCATACACAAAGCTACATTGACCTCACTGGATCACACCACAGAGAACCAGATATATCATATTTGCATCAGTAAAAGATTCAAGTCAGTGGAAGACGTGAGAACCAGGGGAGGCGGTTGACACAGCTTCAGGTTATCACCTGACAGTGGCCAAGATGAAACTGAATTGAAGAAGCACTGGACAACTGGAGAAACAGCATCCAAAAGGTTTAGTATAGCTTTCCTTCGACATACTAACAAAACTCATCGAATTCAAGATAACCCACACTAACAAGTTCCAAGTTTTACAAGATGTACTTATAGAAGAGGAAGCGACTATGGAGAACAGCTGGAAATGGATTTATGAAGCACTAACTTTGGCGTGTCACGAGGTTCTGGGCCGTACCAATCAACAGCAGGCCACGAAATCATTTCAAGGACTCAAATTCAAACCTAATGAAGAGCGCCTCCAATCAGCAAAATGTAATATCTGACTGTACCTGTTGTGGAAGTTAACTTATATAAATCAAGAAAAGAAGAGGTCCTAGTACTGAGCCCCGGGGGACCTCACTAGGACATTCCACAGCCTGAGACAAAGTGAAGTTATTCCTTACCTTAAAATGTCGATTTTTCAGATATGAAGTGAGCCAATCAATTAGAGGTGGTCTGACGCCCAGTCGTTTGAGCTTATCGATAAGATATATATGGTCAACCCTATCAAAGGCTTTTGAGAAATCAAGGTAAATGATATCGACCTTCCCCTTGCGATCAAGGATGCTTGTCCATTTGTCCACCTCAGTCAGTAGGTCAGTTATACAAGTGTTACCCCTACTGAGACCATGATGTTGGGGTGAGAAGAAATTTAAGGACAGTAAATAGTCATGTATACCGTCGCATATCAGGGACCCCATAACTTTTGAAGGTAAAGAGGGAAGAGCCACCGGTCGGTAGCTTGGAGTTTCTCTGCATCGACCTCCTTTGAAAATTGGTGTGATGTGAGCCAGCTTCGAAATTTCCGGTAGTTTGCCTCAGCTTAGCGAGTATGCGAACATCTCTCTAAGCGGTGTTGACAGGATTGGAACTACTTCCCTCAGTATAGCAGAGTGAACTATATCTGAGCCAGGAGAAGTGTCTTTTCTTAGGTGCTCCAGTTTCTGGAACACTAAGTCAGCGCTCAGATTCACTACGGAAAGTCCTATACAGTTGCAGATGAAGCTGTCATCAGTATAGTTAATGTGGGTCGGTTGAAATTTCCGAGAGTATTGTTCAGCCAAAAGATCAGCGGAGTCGCCGTCGTTATTTATCGGGCCATTGAGACTTAGCAGTTGCGAAACTCCAGTTTTGGTTTGACGAAGATAGGCTGCATAATGGAATAAACTTTTCGGATTGGAGACAAATTTATCCATAAGCTTTATCTGGTACTGAAGTCTGTCTTCTCTTATAGCCTTCGCGCATATGTTCCTTATGTTTTTATTGCATGTATTAGTAATACTTTCTTGGTAAAACAACCACTTCATCAATAAGTCATGTTGGTTATAATGTCACTGATGTACATTAGAAAGGCAATCCGTATTGTATATTGTATACTGTTGGCATATTTTAAACTATAGTTGTACACACACTATGCTAGTGGATTAAGTGAAGCGAAAAATAATGTTTTGCGAAAAGATAAGATCTGATTAGTCGTTGATTTGTTAATCCTAGTATAGTTTGCTTAGTTGTGAGATCTGTATGCATTAATCGTAGTAAGGTATGTTAATACTGGTGAAACATGAACTATTGAGAATGGTTTTACTATGCAGTGCCATGGATTCTGACAGTCCCATTTGACAATCACTTGATGAACATGAATGGTTTCAGGAGCGTCAAGCTCTAGGTTGGGTATTCTAGAACATCTATAATTGCAGTTATAGGTGGGGTGGTATTGTATAGTATATTCCAGCTAGTAGATCTTCACAGAATGACGAATAATAAGTTCTGGATGTCAGTTTGAAAATTAGACAGTTAGTTAATGCCAATACAATAATCGATCTTATTAAGTTTTAACCAAGGCCTATATGACTAGCAATTAATATTCACGGTACTAGTATGGACTCGGTCAGTCAGTTGACACACCGGCAAGACGAACACTGGATTCATAGAAGCAATTAACTCACTGGTGTAGCAAATAAAGGGATGCTTTTATGTAAGGATATAGTACAGGAAGAAAGATATGAAGCGATTTTAATCATACATTAAGGAAAGATAGTGCATACACTGACGCCATTGTGATCGATTCTGAGCCATGTCACCATTGGCTACAATAGTCGTGCGGATCCCAACCAGGTAGCCTGCATCTACCAACATGGCTCAGACCAGAAGTTAGTGACTTTATGGACTGATGCCACGTTTTGGTTTGGCCGCGCGTAACTTTCTTCTAACCATCCCCAATACCGGTTAGCATTGCACATCATGGTAATCGGTGTCCAGGCATATGTAACACGTGGCCCAACCATCTCGGTCAATGGAAATTCACAACCTCATCAACTGATTTACCATCATTCCCTAATACCCTGCGTCTAACCTCACTATTACTTACCCGGTGATCCCCGCAGTTGCGAGCCATATTCCTAAGATGCCTGTGGTCAAATGCTAGTAGCACTAGTACGAACTGTTTTCAGTGCTAGAGTAAACATGACAATGATACTTTTAGCTCCCAGGAGATTCCACTCAACTGTGGATCTCATGAGATCTGCCCAATTGCTGAACCTAGCGACCGCCAATTAAACTGGAAAGTGTAACTTGTCTGGTAAATTAGTGGCTCGTATATGTGCCGAAACAGTGTATGTTGTACAATGAAAGCCACGACGAGTTACGACCTTATTAATTGAGCCTTAGTATAAATCACTTTATCAGTGGTATTTTAAATACTGTCACCGCTTGTCTCTATCTTATTTTGTTTATGCTACTACCCAGGTTCAGAGTCGTTGATGCAGTTCATGACCGATTTAAACCTCGCCCGAATGTGTGGCGATTAAACATATCCATGAAGGAGTGTACTTTATTAATGAACTGGTCACTTGATACTGATTCTTCCTTTGAGAAAGCATTATTTTAGTCTAAAAGTACGTTTAGCTCCGTATCATTCCTCTTTATATCACACAATTCTAAGTTGACCGACCAACTGTTCATCATAGAGGAAGAACGATATCATGAAACATCTCAGTTTTAGGAAGATTTTGGGACCTCTTCATCTCCAGTGGCTCAAACAGTTCATATCTAGTTGCTGTAAGACTAAGAATACATACAAGCATTGGCGAAATTAGGGAAACAATAGATCCAAGATTCCCAGAGAAGTCCCAAAACGTTGTTCTTCTATATCAAGAGATGAACTTGAGAAAGAAATCGAACCCCACCGCAGGAAAATTCACTGGTAATGGGGAGTGAATGCATTGATATGTCGATAATAAATGTACAGTTTTAAAAGTAATTCCACAACTAGTAACTTTATAATTTCCGCCTTCATGAGACTCACAAACAAAGAAGTGTGTATCCAAACTATCCTTAGTGTATGGTAACACACCACCTAGGTTGGAATATCTGTTCGTATAACTTATTAGGTAGGTGTAACCTAATGGCTTTGAAGTTATTTTATAGTCATATACTAACCAAGTTTCGGTCAAAGCTAAAATGGATGATTTTAGCTCATCCATTAATATCACTAGGTCACGAAATCTCAGTCAGTCAATTTTGTCATTGACGTACTTTTAGAGATAACACTTTCCTCATCTAAATTTACAGGGGTTGAACTTCTACCAGGAGGTTCACTTGTTGACTTAGAATATGCTGATGACATAGTTTTATTTGGTGAAGACGCTGACAAAATGCAGAGTCTTCTGACCACTCTAAGCAACAATGCAAGCATGTTCGGCATGCGATTCTCTCCCTCGAAATGCAAAATGTTGCTTCAGGATTGGGTTACATCGACACCCGAACTAGTGATAGGGAGTGAAGTAGTAGAGTGTGTCGACCGCTTCACTTATCTTGGAAGTCTCATCAGCCCTTGTGGTTTAGTGTGTGACGAAATCTCAGCACGGATACAGAAGGCTCGACTAGCTTTTGCCAACTTGCGTCATTTATGGCGTAGGCGAGATATCCGTCTATCAACCAAAGGACGTGTTTACTGCGCAGCAGTTCGTTCCGTCCTACTTTATGGCAGTGAAACATGGCCGGTAAGAGTAGAGGATATCCGTAGGTTACTAGTATTTGATCATAGGTGTCTTCGAAACATTGCTCGTATATCATGGGACCATCGAGTAAGTAACACAGTTGTTAGGAAACGGGTACTAGGTAAGGATGGCAAATCAATTGATGAAGTAGTGAAACTTCATCAGTTGAGATGGCTGGGACACGTGTTACGTATGCCCAACGACTGACTGCCTCGACGTGCTATGTTCAGTGGTATAGGAGTAGGTTGGAAGAAAGCTAGGGGCGGCCAAACCAAAACATGGCACAAGTCCATGAGGTCACTGACAAGTGGACTGAGTCATGTTGGTAGGTGTAGACTACCTGGTTGGGGACCGCGAGATGACAGCAACCGATGGTTAGAGACCCTGAATGACATGGCTCAAAATCGTTTGCAATGGCGCAGGTGCATCCACTCTCTGTGTTCTCCCAAATTCTAATCTTCTGAATTCTTCATGTCCCTTTTTTCCTCTTTCCAAATTTCTTTCACTGTATTATACTCTTTAAATAACATCTCCAAACCCTAATCTTCCCTATTACTGCTTATACTCTTATTACCTCTACCACTACGGGATTTGAATCGACAAGTGCATCTCTGTGCTAATGTGGTGTGGCAACTCGAACTGATGTACGTACGTACGAAGTTCTACGTTGGTACTGACTGACTGACTGAGTCAGTCGCAACGTAAACCCTTGTACATATGTAAATCAGTTCAAGTTGCCTTACCCCATGATCATAGAAGAATGAGATTGTCAGCCCTAATCTCAGGATAATAGCGCTAGTATCAGTATGCGTGGTAATAGAAAAGATCAGGCATCTAAGATATGATTCAATAAGATATAAATTAGTGAGATAAAAGCAAAAAGTTTATGAGCAATTCAAAAGCTCGAAATCTGGGGGAAGACAAAGAATGGATTCATTTGGGTTTTAGAGAACGATTTTGAACCATTTCATACAAGGTCTCTAACGACTGGTTCGTTTTTATTAAATTTCTGTCCTCAGCAATACCTGACATCAACTTACTGAACATAATCACTTACAATATGTACTCTAATGCGTATTTAGTAGAATATACTGGACATCCAAATGTCTTAGATATGGCCTTTGACCGGCTCTCAGTTTTTTTATTCCTAAATTTCATTATGTTCGGGCTAACATATTAAACATTTTTGAAGTTCGTATTTACACTATTCGAATTCATCTTTATCGATTCCTTAAAATCAGTTAATAGAACCTTGTCTTCTACACGTTTTTCTCGCCTTCATCTTTTTGTTTCATTCATTTCAATATGGTTTCCCGTTTGTCTCATGTAAGGTACCCGAATTATTCCCATCTTTCTAATTCATCCTTTCATTCGTTTGTACAACATAGATGTACTTGTTGAGTGTTATCTACTGGGGACTTTTCCCCAACCTTTTATTTATGTCTAACTTTAGTGAACACGGATACTTTCTCCTCTTCTAATAAAACGTTACAACAAGTGTGACTATTAGGGTTCTAATGAAAGTTGGACTAGTAGCATACGTTGATTTGTGTATGGAAAAAACTTGCGTAACCAAATTTCTTCTAGTTGTTGACATCCTTCGCGCTCGTTTTCACAACTCTGTTTTTAGATTGTGGGTCACCCGTAACTACAGTAGTATTAGTTTATACTCGTTGATTGTCATACAACTTGTGCTGGTAACCATCGCTTTTTCATTAATCAGTTCACAGTACTGTCGTATAAATGAAAAATGTAGTTAAATTTTAGTAATTCAGATTATGTTGTCGAGTATAGGCTGATGTGAACACTTGACTGTTGACCCTGTTAATTTTAGACGAGTTATGGTTTATCCGATCACTTATACACACAACCAGCGATAGATCACATGTTTAAACTGTGTTGCCTGTTAAATGGTCAGTTTTCATCCAGTTTTTTGTTATGACTAAAACATACTAAGCTTGGGTAAATTTCCTTTTATTTTACTGCAGTAAGTTCAACATAATTACTTTTTATATGAAGATTCATTGTCTTTGTGTATCTGCTCTAGTTTGTTGTTTTCCAGATCTGCTAATCAAATGGATGACCTAAAAGCATTGCTTGATGCAGAGCAGGAGAAAGTGACCAAGTTGAAAGCTCTTGTGGTAAAAGAGAGAAAAGTTAACACAAAAATCAAATCAGAATTGGAATATCTGAAGTCACTGCATACCAGGACTCATCAAGAAAGTGGTGGAACCGTTGAAAAATTTGATAAATCGTGTTGTACTTCTGAATTTTCAAATGAATCTACTTGCATGAATGAGGCACTACCATCAGAGCTTGTAAGTACATCGGTAGAAAACGCTGTATTTAATGAACATAAAAGGAATTTGCGTGTGTCAACCAACGATATTGATGATAAGACGACTGAATATGTAACTAAAATTCCTGTTTGTATAATTTCAGCCTCTTCTTGTGAGACGTCCTCTAAGGATTCATTGCAGAGTTCTGACAAACATCTACATGTACCCTGTTTAAATGAAACAACTTTAGTTCCTGTTAACTGTCTATGCGTTGCAACACAAGTAGACAACTTAAATAATTTTGATGGTAAGGATTCACCATTGTTACAACAGTTTAACACTGCATTACAGTCATTAAAGCTCAACAATAGAAGTAATCTATCAAAAGATGAATTAAAATTGGTATTTACTGAATGTAACAGATTATTAGAAGAGATCGATCTCTGTTCAACTGATAATTATCATGTACCTTTTAATCATTCCTCATCAGAAAGTGAAATAGTAAAGCTTGAAAATTTTTGTCGAACTCTACCAACAGATTTAAATCAATATTCTCACTCATTAAAACAGTCTTTTACTAAGCAAAAAGAAGAACAAAATCCTCGCCATAACAAACTTTCAAATGAATTAAAACATGTTCATTCAAATGAAATGTGTGATGAAGAATTACATATTTTAGAGCAAAGAGTAAATGAGTTAAAACGTAGTGTTGAATATGCTGAATCTTCATTTAATCAACTTTCAAATAAGCTTACTTCAGTTACTCATATAAATGAAGTGTATAATGCTAAACTATTACAATTACAAACAAAATATAATGATAATTCATTGGATATTACACAATCATTTGTTAAGTTGAAAAGTTTATTATATGATTCTTTTTTATTACCGTTGATTAAATACCATCAAGAAGTAAACAACAATAAACAATGTAATTTGAATGTGGATTATTTTATTTGTGATAATTTTCAAGATGATACTGTTAGTAAGGTTGCAAAGAGTTTAAGCGATTTCCTTGATGAATTGAAACAAATTATTAAACACTATTACACATTCAATAATAAGTGTATTACATCGTCCAATGCATGCATTTCGACTGACTATAATGAAACAAATATTGAACAAGAGAAACTTCTGTTGGATAAATTGAAAAGTACAGAATCTGAATTAATTAATGCGAATGAAAAGATTCTAATCTCTGAGAATCTAATTTCAGATCTAAAAAGTCAACTAAAAAATTCTGAGGAAAAACTACATCGTATGAAAAATCTTTTAGTTAAAGTTAAATTAGATGCAACTGAACAACAGAAGAAACTTTTAGAATTCCAAAAAAGTCAATCTGTAAATGTTGAAAATAATCAAGAATTGAATCGTCTGACTGAAAAATTATCTAATACTGAAAAGGAGAAAGAAAATTTGGTGTGTAGTCTGACACAATTGCGTAGTGAATTAACTCAACAACATGTCTTATGCGAAAATCTCCAAAATGATAAATGTTTAGCACTGGATCGACTCCAAAAGTTACAAAACGAATATAATGCATACAAAGTTAAGGTAAATAATAATCCTAATAATTTAAAAAAACTCTTCGTAACTCTAGTATTTGGTATATAAATATGATTTAGTGATTGATAAATTGAATATGATAATTTCGCTTAGAAGAGGGAGAAATGTCAATCTTCCGTGCATGACTGTATCATAAGTGATTCCTCTCACTTATCTACCACTCTGAAACTTTGTTTTACCTTGTAACTTACCACTTATCGGACTAGATTGATTAGCTCCTTGATGATGTCCTTACATTTCAGAATTTTTAGGTGAATGTACTGGCATCTCATTTCATAATCAAACAAACGTTTTACGTCATATTAACCTCATACTAATAACGAAAGGAACTCCGCCTGTAGCTCTTCTAGAGTTACTGCCGGTCCCAAGCCCGGGTAAAGGAGGAGGGTTGGGCATGGGGTTAGCGTCCCCATCCCGTAGAAAACTAACTCGCTAAAAAAACGCTTGCCAGAAAAAATAATTCAAACCATTTTAACTCTGCCCTGAGAGTTAGAAGGTCTTCATTTAGAAGAATTATGACGCTTCATGGTGAAAGCCGAGTTCCTTCGGAAGCCACGAGGCCGATGCCCCTTCTAACAACCAGAGCAAAAATTTTTATAGGTACATGGAACGTTCGAACAATGTGGGAAACCGGGAAGACCAGCCAAATAGCAACGGAAATGAGGAGATACAACTTGGCAGTACTGGGAATCAGCGAAACCCACTGGACCCAAGCTGGACAGAAAAGGCTAGCTACGGGAGAGATGCTGCTATACTCCGGTCACGAAGAGGAAAATGCTCCACACACTCAGGGAGTTGCTCTAATGCTGTCCAAAGTAGCACGAAATGCACTTGTAGGATGGGAATCCCACGGATCCAGAATCATCAAAGCATCATTCAAAACAAAGAAGGAGGGGATCTTAATGAATATTATCCAATGTTATGCACCCACCAATGATAGCAACGACGACATTAAAGATCAATTCTACGAGCGGCTGCAGTCAATCATAGAGAAATGCTCAAGAAAGGACCTCACCATTCTGATGGGAGATCTAAATGCCAAGGTCGGAATAGACAACACTGGATATGAAGATATTATGGGACGACATGGACTGGGAGAAAGAAACGAAAATGGAGAAAGATTTGCAAATTTGTGTGCATTCAACAAATTAGTCATAGGAGGCACAATATTTCCACACAAGCGTATACACAAGGCTACATGGATCTCACCGGACCACACTACAGAGAACCAGATAGATCATATTTGCATCAACAAAAAATTCCGAAGGACAATGGAAGATGTGAGAACCAGGAGAGGTGCTGACGTAGCTTCAGATCACCACCTAGTTGTAGCCAATTTAAAATTGAAGCTAAAAAAGAACTGGACAAGTGGACAAACAGCACTACAAAGGTTCAATACAGCCCTCCTTCGAGATACTGTCAAACTCAATGAATTCAAGATAGCTCTCAACAACAGGTTCCAAGCCTTTCAAGATCTACTGAAGGAAGAAGAAACTACCATGGAGGACAACTGGAAAGGCATCAAAGAAACATTGACTTCAACGTGTCAAGAGGTTCTGGGTCTAAAGAAATACCATCATAAGGAATGGATCTCTATAGAAACACTGGACAAGATCAAAGAAAGGAAGAACAAGAAGGCAGCAGTCAACAACAGCCGAACACGAGCAGAGAAAGTCCAAGCACAAGCTGAATACATAGAAGCAAACAAGCAAGTGAAGAGAAGCATTAGAGCCGACAAGAAGAAATACGTTGAAGAACTAGCAACGACGGCAGAAAAAGCTGCTAGAGAAGGAAACATGAAACAGCTTTACGATACAACGAAGAAATTATCAGGGAAATACAGTAAACCAGAGAGGCCGGTCAAAGACAAAGAAGGCAAGCCAATCACTGAAATTCAACAACAGCGAAACAGATGGGTAGAATACTTCGAGGAACTCCTGAATAGGCCGGCTCCAATGAATCCACCGAACATCGAAGCAGCACACACAGATCTTCCTATAGAGGTCAACCCACCAACGACGGAAGAAATTAGAATGGCCGTCAGACAAATCAAGAACGGGAAAGCAGCAGGACCCGACAACATACCAGCTGAAGCACTGAAATCAGACGTCGAAGTAACCACAAGCATGCTTTACCGTCTATTCAAAAAGATTTGGGAGGAGGAACAAGTGCCGATGGACTGGAAAGAAGGACACCTCATCAAGATTCCAAAGAAAGGAGATCTGAGCAAATGTGAAAACTACAGAGGCATTACACTACTGTCAATACCAGGGAAAGTCTTCAACAGAGTGTTGCTGAACCGGATGAAGGATGCAGTAGATGCCCAACTTCGAGATCAACAAGCTGGATTCCGAAAGGATCGGTCGTGCACAGACCAAATTGCAACACTACGGATCATCGTCGAACAATCAGTTGAGTGGAACTCGTCACTATACATCAACTTCATTGATTATGAAAAGGCATTCGACAGTGTAGATAGGAGGACATTATGGAAACTTCTTCGACACTACGGAGTTCCTGAGAAGATTGTCAATATTATCCGGAACTCATACGACGGACTACAGTGCAAAGTAGTGCATGGAGGACAGCTGACGGATGCATTCCAAGTAAGGACCGGAGTCAGACAAGGCTGTTTACTCTCTCCCTTCCTCTTTCTTCTGGTGGTCGACTGGATTATGAAGACCTCAACATCTGAAGGAAAACACGGAATACAATGGACAGCTCAGAATCAATTAGACGATCTGGACTTCGCAGATGACCTAGCCCTCCTATCACGTACACACGAACAGATGCAGATGAAGACAGCCAGTGTAGCAGCAGTCTCTGCATCAGTAGGCCTCAGTATACACAAAGGGAAAACCAAGGTCCTCAAATTCAAAGCGGAGAACAGCAATCCAATCACCCTTGATGGCGAAACTCTGGAAGATGTAGAATCCTTCACATACCTGGGAAGCATCATCGATGAACAAGGAGGTTCGGATGCAGACGTAAAGGCGAGGATTGGCAAAGCAAGGGCCGCATTCCTACAATTGAAGAACATATGGAACTCAAAATGTTGAAAATAATCAAGAATTGAATCGTCTGACTGAAAAATTATCTAATACTGAAAAGGAGAAAGAAAATTTGGTGTGTAGTGAATTAACTCAACAACATGTCTTATGCGAAAATCTCCAAAATGATAAATGTTTAGCACTGGATCGACTCCAAAAGTTACAAAACGAATATAATGCATACAAAGTTAAGGTAAATAATAATCCTAATAATTTAAAAAAACTCTTCGTAACTCTAGTATTTGGTATATAAATATGATTTAGTGATTGATAAATTGAATATGATAATTTTGCTTAGAAGAGGGAGAAATGTCAATCTTCCGTGCATGACTGTATCATAAGTGATTCCTCTCACTTATCTACCACTCTGAAACTTTGTTTTACCTTGTAACTTACCACTTATCGGACTAGATTGATTAGCTCCTTGATGATGTCCTTACATTTCAGAATTTTTAGGTGAATGTACTGGCATCTCATTTCATAATCAAACAAACGTTTTACGTCATATTAACCTCATACTAATAACGAAAGGACTAGAACTCATAGTCACACATGATAATATTTACGCTTGTCCAACATGACGGACAGCAAATTATGATTCACTAGTGGAAAGAAATCAAATAAATGGTTTTTGTATGTTTTAGTCGGTCAGCTACAACATAGGACCAGGCATATATATTCATCGGTCCAAATTACCACACCTCATAGCACAACAAGATGAACACCAAATTTATAGTAGTCACTTCAAAAGTAGTAATATATAAAAGAAAGATTGTGTTCGGTGATTATTATTGTCTCTGTTTGTTGTGAACTCTCTTATTAAGACCCAGTCACTCTTATCGCTTAATATTTTTCGGACACTCACTCAAAATCAGAACACGGTTGAACAGGCATGTAATTATATTCCAATCAAATAAGGTTGAATATGAGTAAGAATCATAGTAAGAAAAACCCTAATATACTCATAATTTTACACGGCAAGATTCTAGAGTTTTCATTTGTCCACTGGCTTATAAATGGCCAACCAGCGTACTCCGATACAATTCATCACGGGACATCTTTTAATCCAATCTATATTCCATTAACACTGTTATACCCACTAATTGGAGACTCACAAACTTTGTAAGCTTGACTGATAATCTATGCATGATAGTAAACTGTGAGCGTTGGTTACATCTCTCTTATGTCCACTAAGTGAGCCAGTAATAGGTGGGTACAAAGAAAGGTGAATGACGTTACTGGACAGCTCTTTTATTGGGAAACTATATGGCCGATAATAGGATCCTTATTTTATGGTAAAATATCTGTAATTTACTACAAATGAAGTTGGAATGTATTTTCAACCCAATAAAAGTCATTCATTTTTAATTTCTTCACATTAGATTGGGCTAATTTTCATTATTAACTCTTTAAATATTGAAATACTATTCGTCGATGTGTCGGAAAATTAAGGTTTTGTAGATTATATATATACTGAAGTTGTGTTAATTTATTTAATCGATCGTACTATGTGAAAGATTTTTTTCACTTCAAACTTTTTTTAATCTAAGGCTCAACTTGCTCTATGTAACGTACGCACTCTAACCAATCAGGTGAACACAACAGATACTAATAATAGTCCTAATTGTGAAGGGGTGAATACTAACCAATCTGATTTCGAAAGCAGATCATTTTATTATTCAAATGAATTAGAATCTATGAAACACAATCTTTTTGACGTACAAAATCGTATGAAAGAGGCTGAATTGCATGCGTCCTTAGCACAATCAGAATGTGATTTGTTAAAGAAAGAATTGATCGAAGTGAAAACAAGGTAAATACATTTTTATTATTTCCAAGTACATACTAAACAAATATACACTAATTAATCGATGGTATTCGATCTGTATCAAGAACTAAGTAAACATCACATTCGTTTAGACTCAGTAATCAGTCGGTGTAAATATCACGATTCTATATTAGGCCAATTGCGACCCAAATATCTGTCTCATTAGTAACGTCTGTCACAGTGAAACTAAGTAATACGGGTTCAAATCGTACAATGAGTATCAATTCACTAAAGGTTGTAGACACGTCTTGCTGATGACTGCTAACTAAAAACTAAGGTATAGGGATTCTTGCCGATTATCTCGAATCACTTAACACCCAGGTATCAGTAGTCAGTCAGCCATTATTAACGTATAACCTAATGCAAATGTATATTGACCTAATTAAGCTCGTCCAATGAGACCAAATTAACAAGACCAATAACAAAGGAGTTGAAATAGTTACATTATAAAAGATAGTGAGAAGAATTAAATATTCAAAATATGATCCGAAAAGAAGGTATGTATGGAACTCAAGATCTATGGGAAAATGAAAAGGGGATTCATCTGTCTCATATCTGACGATAGCACTTATGATATCAAGTCAATTAAACCAGTAATCATATTGCATTTGATTGAATGAGTTCAATCAGCACCAAGGATTAAAAACACGACACTGGTCATTACTCAGTGATCGATCAGTATAAATGACATAACTCTATCTCTTGACCTTTTATTGTTTTATTTTCCAGCACTATTTGATTTTAAATATTTGTAAATTACTAGGTTTTCTTGTTGATATCACAAACCAACCTAAATTCTAAATCGATCGAAAATCACGAAGCACTGGACAGCTGTTTTTCTCCACTTTTATAACATTGATCGATTCATGATCTCAGTCAAAAGCTAACAATCTCTACGACCTAATACTGATTTTATAATTTATTTTGAATCAAGCAAGATAATCACTCATCCAAAATCAGATACTTCCAGAAGTTCATTTTGAGAATTTCTGAAAGTATGTACTTCTATAGAGCTTTAAGTATGTATCAAGGTACAGAAAAAAGTCAGTGAATACATTTATCAGTAGTCCGTTTGTCAGGTTTATCACCAAGATAGATTGAGAAATGACGAAGTACGAATTAGAAACTGAGTAAACAAAATAAAGTTTACCTATTCATAAATTTATGGCTCAAAACCGTACTACGGTCGAGTTACTTATGAACAATCTAAGAACTATGTATTTTTTTCACAGACACACTGAACTGTTATGCCAATCTCAAAAACAAAAGCAATCCTTAGAGGACCAACTAATGTCAATAACTCAACAATGTGAAAATCGTCTTTCTGCTGAATTTAAAGAACTAGAACAAAAGTATACTAATCAACTACGTCATTATGAAGAACGACTTATGCTGCAAACTCAAAAATATGAAAGTGAATTGCGGTGAGTAATTTTTTACTATGTTTATCTAATGTAAATTTGGTAAGCTTCATTTCATTTTGTAGATATTACATTATGAGTTCTCACTTCAAAAAATCCTCGTTCATTTTGACTTACTTTAGTCTCTTGTACGTTTAGTTGTTCCCCTTATTCAATATTGAATTTTGAATAATAGGGTACAAGCTATATCCCTACCACTGTGTTCATCAATGATGTAAACGTTTTTACATATTCCATAGCATCTCCGTCAAGTGTGATTCGATTGGTGAATGCTGTGTTGTATCGGAGAATCTTGCTTTTCCGTTCGTGTGTGTTGAGACCTACTGCTGCTGAGGCTGCTGCTACACTGGTCGTCTTCTCCTAGATCGTCCAGCTGCATCCTAGCTATCCCATGCTTCCCCCAAGATGTTGACGTCTTCATGATCCCGTCGGTCACCAGGAGAAAGAGAAATGGTGAGAGTAAGCAACCTTGCCTGACACCGGTTCTTACTTCGAACGAGTATGTGAGCTGTCCTCCATGCACGATTTTGCAGTTTAATCCATCATAAGAATTCTGTATAATGTTAACTATCTTCTCAGGCACGCCATAGTGTCGAAGAAGCCTAGCATAGATGCATAATATATGCAATCGACTTGAAACCAAACATACAGAAAGAGGAAAATCGTCTGGCCATTCCACCATCAATTAAACAGCTTCATTGTTGTTGTTTTTTATTTTAGTCAAGAAAGAGAATTATGGGAGACAAAATTAGCCAGTATCATTCACACAAACCATTCACCCACTCAAAACTCGTACAGGTACGAACAGGCCTATGGTCATCGACGGAATTTCTCAATACCTGATAATTTGAATCCTTTAAGCGTAAGTGTTTTGGTCCTCCAGTACTATTTAGTAACAAACATTATAACTTGACATTAAATATAGTAAATAGTTTTTCACTAGTAATCTCAGTTCATAGTACATCTCTGTCAAGAATATACATCATTGTTGGTGTATTTTCTGTTTCGACAGCTTTAATGTAACTGATTGATGTTGATTTCATACATACTTCTTTGATCCATCGTTTATTCTTGCTATTTATATCAATTGTCTTTTTCGTGCTAGTTTGTGGCAGCTCATTGACATATAGCTTTGTCTGTCTTTGTTACTGAGAGTTAAAAAGCAGTTTAATGTTATTTTAAGTATTCAAAATTTTCATGCTGCTTATACTAATGTGGTGTGTGCTACTAATGTATCATCAATCGAAAGTGAACTGGCTGGCGGCAGAAGGTCAAGAAGATCGAAGAAAAGAGAATGATTGGTGTGGAAATGAAATAACAGTTAAGTCTGAGACGGTTGATCGACATTTTGCGATTGAAGTATTCACTATATGGTTCTCAGATTTTACTAAGACGTTCTGTAATTTTGTATTTGAATGCTTTCGATCGTCTCAAATTGTGCTCTCTTTCATTACATCAAGAGAACAGAAGTATGTCAACACAAGGTGCAAAACAGAAATAAATCAATAGTATATCTTACAATATCCATTTTTCATAAGTTTTGGAATATAGGGGAATATGTTGTTTGGTAGAATACTAATCAGGAATCTTGTGTCTATGACTTAATTTCTTCAACAGCCATCTTTAAAAGAACTAAAGCAGATTCATAATTACAATGTTTACATAATGTATTCTACTAGTGTTTCGCTATTTTAAAGCCTCATATCTTTGAAAAAAGTAAGATATATTTGGAAACTTCTGTATATAATAACGACACCTTATCTGGTTGTTACATTCATTCCATCATCCATGTTACGGTACGAGAATAAAAAACGACTTATGAAATAAACCTTTAGACAGTCTCAAGTAAACCACATATTTGAACAATGGCGAATAGATTAGATAATTTAGATAAATCTCTCCACACCAATAAATACGGTTTGCATAGGTGATAAATAAACGCATTTGTTCTCAGAATCTAAATTAAGATAAGATTATAAATGCGCTTATCTTTGTCTTCGACTTTTTGTTTCTGAATATCTACTCATTTAATAAACTTTACTCACTCTAATTCCTCTGTCATTGTTAAAACTTCTATGTTCAACACATCGAACTGTTTGAAAAGAGCAGGAAATTGGTCAGTTTTGTGGCATTATCATATCTATTTATTACTGTATTGTTTCGAAGCAGTGGATTTTAATCAGAACACTCGACTTTGAACTAGTTACTTGTAAGTTGAGATACCGTTCCATGGTCTTCAGTTTAAAGCGGTCTATAATATCACTAAACTAGGTTTTCGCGTCGTGCGCTGCTAGGATCACTCCACTGCCAACAATAGTAGGTCACCATCCACCATCAACTTTGCCGGTCTAGACTCCTGCTGCAACGCCTCCTCCCAGTCCGCTGGACTTTCAACATCTGTAACCAACCGCTCTGTTACGGCCCCTCACTCCATTTTCCCGTCGGCATTCTCTGTGTTGGTATACACTGCCTTTGCCCTGTCTCCCGGCAGCGTCTTCAGCATCACCATATTCACCTTGGGCTCACCAACCCCGCAACATCCGCACACTTCTTCAGGAAAGTTTGTACATCCCCTTCCTTAGACTTCGATGGTTACAGCATCTTCATTCTACGTAGAAACAGCGACACAAATTGTAAAGGATGAAAACGTGAACAAGCGAAAACTAGTTATGCCATCCAAAATTACACACTGCAGAATATGAAACCAATACATTAAATATACCGTTTGCATATCTTCCTTGAGTTATCCCTTACAAATTCCATCGTTGTGTCGTTCATGTTGTTACTCCGATTGCTCTCTGTTTTTGTTCTCTTGTTTTCCTTTTATGCCAGTAGGAATTCGATTTTCAAACCCTGCTACATACTACTTATATCTATCCGTATAAGTAGCACACATCACAGTACTATCAAAAATAGGTGTGGGAAACTAGAGGAATAGTGTAATGATCATGATAAATAGCAGCTACAAGTTGAATATTAGTCGGATTGTAGAGTACATATACTACCGAGAGCATAGAAGCAACTCATATATTACTATAATTCACAGTAAAGTATCATTGTTCTGCAACAATTAGGGCTAAAATTAAGCAACTGTAGTAGACCTGTCTGATTCAGTGCATAACATCAATCCTTTATAGTTAGATCACTGTTTTAAGAAATTCAATGATTACATACTGTTCCTGTGATTGTGTAAGATGAGGAACTTAGTTGCGTTCATGTCAAATAATATAAAAGAATTAGTTTTTCATGAAATTTTTTTCAGGCAAACTCTCACCATAAAAGAGTTCAAGGAGATGGAGCCGATAATTCCATGATTTCCCCCGTGGAATCTGATACGGAATCGGATCATGCAGTTAGGAATTGCTCTCTAAGTCACAGTGGCAGTGAGCATTATTCATTGGCAGATGAAGAAAACTATAAGAAGTCTGTACATCGAGTGAGTTATTTATTGTATTACATCATTACATAACTAAGTATCAGTTACAAGTATAAAAGTACCTTTCTCTATAGCTCAAGTTTTTCTGGATTGATAAACTTCTCTCACAATCGGACATAACCAACATAAGATGGCGCCAGCTCAAACGTATCTAAAAAGAGCAATCGTTTATTATTTTCTTCCTCGTATATACCATGATATTATGTATGCTCTTGAGTCTACCTAGACATACTACTCTGGCAAATTGATTATGATTGGAAAAACTAACCCCATTATTCCATATAGGCCTGAACATTTCACAAACGATTATATGGCATCCTGCTTCATTTACCAGTCCACATGTTTGTGTGGGTAAATAGGGAGCAATTATCGAATAATACAAATAAGGGTATCTAGATAGCTTCCGAATAAACGTAAGAATTAGAAGACTATCAAAACGTATCAAAACACAGTTGAAATGTGTCAAAGAATTTACATTAACACAGCTTTTTAAACGTCGCATAGGAATTGCAAAGAACGGTTTCTCAGGTTTATAGAAGCCTTGGCTGTCGGGGAATTCAAACCCCGATTTATGTGTACAAAAACAATTTTTCTTAGTGTTGAGCCTACTCCAATAATATTTAAGATATTTTACGACCTGGGGTCGTGTGACAAACTCCTATTATTTTCTATATTATGTTAATTTGTAATAATGGGAGAGGGATACAGGGGATCTCAATTCTATTCCGTATTTTTGTTTATATGAGCTTTTTCTACATGTGAAAAAAAGTTTAAACAGTTTTTAGAATTTTATAGTGTTTAATAAACATCATTTTTCGGTAGACTATTTACGAAGTTTAGACACTTAAATATACAACATCATTGCTTACTATAGTTTCGTTCTCTAATGTAATTAATCCGAATGTTTTTCATTCGAAGTTGTAAGAATCCTAAATGGATGTGTATATTGATTGTTGATGGGGTTTAAATTTACTATCTAAGTATTTAAATAAGGAATATTTCTCCACTATTTTGCTTTTCATCTCGTTACATTTTCCTTTTACGGTTCTTATTTAAACTATAATTAAACGCTTTTGTATTTGCTTGTGTCTTGTCTATAATGGAACTTTTATCTAGTAATTACTTTTTATCCTAACATCCGTTTACTTTTTAATATTTTTCCTAATAACTAGCTACTCTATACCTAATCAGTACACAAAAATTGAATTTAACGTCTTTTTCAAACTTTGTCGCATTTATCGTCTATTCATTTTTATTCTTTCTGTCTAGGTTTTTGTAAGCCAATGGACTTTAAGGTTCAGCTTCTACTTTTTAATCAGTTTATTTCCCTGTAATTGTGCGAGAAATGATATTATAAATAGTTCCATTGGCTAACGAACAGATATCGAAAACTATTAGTTACCAAAATCATTATATTTCCGTATATTGCATTCAGTATCATACAAATGTTTAGCTATGAACAGTAGCTTAGTTTTTCTAACACATAAACCTTCAACCACATGTCTGCAAATTCAAATACCCCCCTATCTATTTCCAACTTGGTAATCGCGTAATATCACCTCTTGAGTTTCGACTGAACGAACAGTGATTCACAACTCACTTGTAATACACCTAATTATTCTCTACCTTAGTTACCAGCAGTTGATATGACGAATAACTGCTCACTTTTGTTGAGTTATTCTATTTAACTTTAAGAATAAGCTTAAATCGAGTCATGAATTCAACCATTAAGCTACTACAATCTCCATAAACTTCCATTCTGATAAGAATGCGATTTATTGGGCTAGATTTAAATTGTACACTTGGTTGAGTAATTCAAGAGTAGAGTTTTAAAAAAACCGATATAATCATTGTATTAGCAACTAACATATCCTGTGGCTGGCACCTATTTGTTTGGTACAATTACAGATTGATTGATATTGAGGTTTAGATTGTATAGTTTTCACGATTAATCTGGCCATGGTCATTATGCTTACAATTAGCTGACAACCGATGGAAATTAACCCAAACCATTATACAGTAACAAACTCATACTTTAAGGCAAAAGAACAAATTCACTAGTAACTTGACGATTGTTTATGATTTTTTATATATATCGGGTTTGATCTATTGTAAAACACATTGGACTGTTTTTCGACCAATTATCTTTTTTCAGATCACCATACCTACTTTGGAACAACTTCTTAATCATCCCAATCAATATTCACCATCTGAAAATATGTCATCTCAGCATTCTGTTAAATCATTTCAAGAAGTTCGTAATGTTCAACCTAATCAGTTAGCTGGTTTACAGTCTGCTTTAACCAATCAACAACGTCGAGTTGAATATCTTTCTGAATTGTTAAGTGAAAGTGAAACAAATGTAACTCGTTTATTTGAGCAAAACAAAGTGAGTATGGTATTGCATATTACATATTATTGTTATATTTTAAAGAATTAATTAATATAACACATTTTCATAGAACAAATATTCGGAAAGGGTTCTTGGTATTTGTATGGTTGTTACACATGATTGAACTCTACTGTTCATAATGTAAAAAGCTTGGATGGTTTCTGGTTCTTAAACGTGAAATTGCCCTGTCATTTTACAAGTATATTTATACTTGTAAAATTAATATACGCGAAGTTTCTTTATATTCGATACACAGAAGTATTTTGTGTAATAAAAATGATACCCAACAATGTAAGTACTTCCATTAAAAAATGCGAATACAATAATAATCCCCACAGCAAAGCGTAGAATTTGGGAAACTGATTGTAAGCTCCGAATTTTATCACTACGCGTGCTCTTCATATAACTCTGACTGACACAATTGTAGACTAAGTAACTTCACAGTTTTTTTCATATTGGCACTCTATCTTGGTATAAATTATAGATTATTTTATTATTTATTTATTTATTTATTTATTTGAACACATAAATATTGGTACAAGAGAGCGCCAATATATATGCGCCACACAAAACAATGGGAATTCGAAGAGAAGTAGAAAGAAAAAAAAGCTAAGGAACGCAAAAGAAAAAGAGAGTAATGACGAAGAGGTACAATCAGAAGAAATCTTTCAGGTAAAGGAGACACAACCACTTTTTATGAAGAAAGTAAAAGAAGGTTACAGCAGGATCGCCACTGGCTTCTATTCTGAGCCATATCTGATAACGTCTCTAGCCACTGTGTAGCACCATCTCTCGGACCCCAGCCAGGGAGTCGGGAAGGACCAACACAAGCCAGTTTGTTTGTAGCTTTCTTTCATGCCACGACACCATGTCATGCACTGACCACCTCTCCGCTTCTTCCAACCAGTCCCAGAGTCGGCAAATAATGCACGACGTGGAATTCTCTGGGACGACATTCGGAGAACATGTCCAAGCCACCGAAGTCGGTGTTTCAAGATGGTGACACCAATTGAGTTATCATCTCTGTGCCCGAACACACGATGCCGAACCTCTGCATTACTGACATGGTGTTGCCACTGAATGTCAGCAATCCTTCGAAGACGGCGATGATCGAACACAGAGAGTCGTCTAACGTCCTCAACTCAGAGAGGCCAGGTTTCACAAGCATAGAGCAAAACTGCTCTCACCGACGCGTTGTAGATCCGGCCTTTTACAGCCAGACCAACATCACAAAGGCGCCAAAGGTGGCCCAGATTGGTATAAGCCGCTCTGGCTTTCACTATTCGTGCATTGATCTCATCACTCACACCCCCACCAGCACTTATGCAGCTACCCAGATACACGAACTTCTCGAATACTTCTATATGCTCACCATCCAGAGTGAATACAGGATTAGAGTCCTGTCAGTCTTGTAGAAGCACTTTGCACTTCGAAGGTGCAAAGCACATACCATACCTACGGACACTGATTGCCAACTGATCAAGTGCGGATTGCATGCCTTGGGCATTATCGCACAGTAAGACAATATCGTCCGCATACTCAAGGTCGAGAAGTCTTTCTCCAGGCAACAGATCCACACCACCATTACTTACATTCATCAGAGCTGTTTCCAGAATGTCATCGATGGCAAAGTTGAAGAGGAATGGTGAGATTGGGCAACCCTGCCTAACCCCACTGCTCGAATGGAACAATGGAGAAAGGTGGTTGTATGCCCTCACTCTGCCTGAGGTGTTTTTATACAGGGCTTTTAGGATGTTAATAAACTTCTCAGGCACACCCTTCTTCAATAGACAATCCCAGAGAACAGTCCTGTCCAACGAATCGAAGGCAGCCCTGATGTCAAGAAACACTACGATTGTTGGCCTTTGATAAGTATGGCGGTGTTCTAACATTTGGCAGAGGGTGAAGATATGATCAATACATCCTCGACCAGAACTAAACCCAGCCTGCTCCTCGCGAGTCAATCTTTCTCGGGTTTTGAACAACCTACGAAGAATGACGGAAGCCAATATCTTGGACGCAATCGGAAGTAGACTTATCCCCCGATAGTTGTTACAAGAACGACGTGAACCCTTTTTAAAGATAGGGACAACTATCGACTCATTCCATGACGTTGGTACACTCTCTAGTTCCCAAACCTTTGTAAACAACGTCGACAATTCCTTAGTCAAAAAGTCACCACCATCTTTAAAAAGAGCCGGAGGAATAGTTAACTCTGAGAAATATTAAATTTTGTCATTGACTTGAAAAGATCATAAGTACAACTGTTCCATCTATGAGTTACAATTTAAACTGTTTCGGTATTTCATATTTGGCAACTGTATTCATTCACTTTGTGGATATAATTCAACCAGTCTAAATTCATTACTAACATCAAGTTTGTATTATAATCAAATCACTGACAGGTTGCTAACTATTTCACAGTTTATTACTTAAAAATATTCTCTACATTTCATTCAAGATAATATATTAGTATTGATCAATTGAAAAATTTACTGGTTTTCATTTAGAATGTAAATGTAAGTTTTAACAATCGATTTTTGTGAAGTATCTTGCAACATCTGTAAAAAAACCGTTATCTATGGATCTACCAAAAGTAACATATTTCACAGCACTCGCAACAACTTTTTTGTCCTTCGATCGAACAAATGTTTTCACTGAAACTTAAAGGATCAGCATTTTTCAATTTGGCTGTTACTATACAACCGTTTAAAACAATCCCTAGATATATACGAGGTGTTCTACTGTCTCTATTGTAAATAAAGGTTCTCTCACTCCGAATTGGGTCACTTGACGTGAACAGTCCAAACTACACAACCTTCAAAACCATTGTCACTATTGGGTATGAGTATAATCACACAATACAATCTGTTTCTTGTCGAAAATAATTATCAGTTCATCAGCTGCGTGCGTAAATTATCATATGACTGGCTAAGATGATAAGACAACATCTACGTGGTACTTTTGTAACACCAACTCAGCAAATAGTTGATTTTGACTGTTTGCTTTTATCACTCCATCCAAAGAATAGTATTTGGGAATAAGAACGGTATTGCATAACACGAGAAAATTTGACACCAACTCACCGATGAAAAAATGGTTAATTTTTTCATCAGTTGCCTTTGAAGAAGAGTGTAGGGCGTTAGTTGCTCATCAAGTGAATGTGTATACTCCGACCATGATGATTCCAGTGTGGCAGTTGTCGCTTAGCAGATTCATCAAAAGGATAACTTAAATATTTTTCCCTTTTTTAGAGGAAAATGTCAAGATTGTTTTCAAAAACTTAATATATCTAAACTTACCCTTAGTTTAAAGTGAAAGCAACAATGATATCAACAGCTTCTTAACTAGTGAATATCTGCCTCAATACTTATCACAGTAGCTTCTAAACACAACAGATCACTGATAAATTTTCGATTGGTGGCGGTAGCAATAACTATAACGGATAAAAACGTAACATCACGGAGTTGTGACTGCATATATGTATTTGCGATTGTACAGCTTTGAAAATGAATTCGCAGAAAAGAGAACTCTTCGCTGTACTAATCTTTCTTATTTAATTTCTTAATGGGTGTATTCTGTTGATTACTTTTTACCAAAACGTTTACTATTCTTTGTGGATATGAATCCTTTAGTGTTTTTATGTAACTGCTTAAAATCTGCTCTTCACGTAGTTAGATACTATAATAACTCCACGATTATATGCCTTTTAATAGTAATAATGTAATTTTTAAATTATGAGTTTGTAATAATGATCATTAAAAGATTAACTATTTCAATCTAAAAACTTGAAAGTGCTCAGTAACTATCGGTTCATATTCCTATATGTGTTATTTATCAACTGTTATGAATTAAAGAATTTCAACTATTCAATGTAGGTCAGTTTGTAGACGAAATTGGCCTTCATAAATAAATCCATATTATGACCATTAATTTACTCTAGATTGCTTTTATTCTCAATATTCTATTAACTAATATCGATTATTGTTTCAAACAACTGTCATATTAACTAGTAATCGACAATTCACTAATCATTATTAACTTCAACTATATAGCTGATTTTTATTTAATTTAGGTGTTAAAAGAAGAAATTCGACGTCTTGAAAATAATTCCAATCCAACATTAAAAGTACAATGTACAGAAAATCAAGATATCTTGGAATTGAACAACTCTCTTCATAGTAACACTAGTATACTTGTTGAACATTTGAAAGACATCTTACTGAAAGTTATAACACTACCCAAACAATCTTCAGAACGTAATCATCTCATGCGTGCGTTGGCTACATTTCTTTCTTTGAAATCAGACGAGTTTAAATTATTAGAAGAGGGTTTAAATCACAGTGTTACTTGTTCTACATCTAATCAGCAACAAAATCTCTCTTCCAATTGGAGTAGTTATATCTCTGCAGTTTGGCGTCAGTAAAGAACAATATTTAAGAAGGAAAGCGTGCAATACTGCTTTCAAAATAACCTTCTGTGATAAATGTGTATTCTTAGTGACAAATTTTTAATTTACTGGTTGTGTAATATCTCCCTATCAGGAAAATACTTAAAGATCAAATCAACTCCGAATATTTAATCTATGATTTTGTAATTGTGATCATTATAGCATTCTTGTTGTTATATCACATCACTTTGATTAACTCTGTTTGGTTATTTTTTAAAGTTAAAAGCAGTTAGTGTGATACATTCTCTATTTATCTAAACTATTTTTCATATGTATGCATTATTATCTTAACACTTTGAGAAATGAGAAGTGTTTTCTTCACTTTCACTCTTAAAAATTGGTTTTTTCAAAAGTTGTGGAGCATAAATTCCTTAACGAAAATATAATTGCATTATGTTACACGAAATATATCTTACTCAATTCACATTCGGCACTTAATTTTTAGGATAACTGACAAAAAATACCTTCACAGTGTCTCTGCATAACAAAATCTTAAACGTAACAAGTATTTCCCTTTATATTCTCCAATTGTGGTAATTGACTTTTTACTCTAATACGAGTGAAGTTAGAGTACGATGTTTTACGTTAATGAGTTGTAGTTTGGATGAGTTCTACTAACAAATAAATGGTCTTCTCAATAAAGTGCTTCAAGTCAATATTTGTAGTGCTAACCGCAGATTTAAATTTGCAGGTCGGGCACCTAACTACGGGAAAGTAGCTTGCGTGGTCAACGAGTGCTTGATGTTCACAGGTCAGATAACGGTGACCCTCTCCTGGTCGGACTACACTCTGTTTGCGGCTGAGACCATCTCCTTGTGTAATCACCCTCAATGTGCTGTCTAGCGTCCTGTTAGCAACTCAGGCCGAAATTCAGAATGATCTCACCAGGTTCGCCTACCTCTGGGTTAGTTGTGTACGAAACCGTCAATCTTTTTGGAATAACTATCCGGAACTGGATCATGCTCCGGTTTGCACCAAGCTTAACCTGGACTTTAGTGCCCAGCAAACGTCTGGTCTTGAACTGACTGATACCAGTAAATTGACTGTAACTTCTGTTACAACCGGATATCAGTGTAAGGTTCAAGACTAGCAGTCAGTTCGCGGAAGAGTATGGATAAGCATTGTGCGTCTTCATAAAGCCAAGTCGCTTACAGTTCAAAAAACGCGTTCATAAGTCCTAGGTTTTTGCAAGCTCGCCCATCCACTCCGACGAACCTACAGTTTGATGACACGCAGATTTCTACGTGACGGAACTTTATGAAGTTGGCGAACAGCCGAGAAACCGGGTAGTGTAAGCGTGCTAACAGCTTCGAAGCAGCAACTGCATTTGTTACTGTACGGAGTTGTTTGAGCTCACTCGAACAATCGGCAACAAGTCTGGTGTGAAACAATTTGTGAAGTTACTGGGAGTGTTGCACCTACGAGAAGCGTCAATCAGACTATCCTTCCTGGTCGATGACTGCTGATCCACTTAGTAAGTCGGAAATTAGTCAGGAACCTTAACTACTGAAGCCCCACGAGTTACCAGGTCCATGCAATCTTATTTTGGTTCTTTTTAAGGATAGTAGTAGAATTATATTCAAGTAACTGACTGGATTGTTTCGAAAGATTTAGGAATCGGAGTATTCTGATCACCCTGAATATAATAATCTATAACCTGTCAAAGTTGGCGATCCTAATTTGCGTTATCATTCGAAAAACGTGCGAATTTAGCGTAGTAAATTTGAAAGTACCATCCCCAGTAGTCCAGGATTATAAGAATAGGTCCCATTGGTTCAGTTTGAAAAACGACAAGAAGGCTAAGATACCTATTCAGAAAAATACATATCACTTTTATGCATATTAACTGTCAGCTATGTACTTAGTTATGCAGGTAAACTCAGTTCAACGTGTGTGGCCTGATTTCGTTTGACTACTAGGTAGAAATTACTATAACCTCATTAAGTCTGTTACTAATTTGTCGCATTTTCCACTACCGGTTGATGTCTGTTCCGCCTTTTTTCGAAATGACTATAATCATTTGCTAATATTGTATAAATTTTACTAAAGCTTCACATAGATTGGCTCAACATTAGTACGAGAAGTGCCCGAATAAACTGTCTGTAATCAAAATAAATCGTACAGCAGCCACTTAAAGATTGAATGTTCATTGTAGCCTAGTGTATTAGGGAAATATGGAACGACAAATCAGTGGCCTGACCACCTTATGTACTTTACTCAAATATACTTGCCTACGCCTGTTACCACTAGTGGAGCATAGGTTGCTCACCAGCATTATCCATAGAACTCTGTCCTGGACAGTCCTTTCCAGTTGCTATTTATTCTTTTGACGTTTGCCTCGAATTTTGGTACAACATTGTCTTTGGTCTTTGTTGGGATATTCAGGAAAATATCCCAAAAATTATCCTGTTAAGCCTAATGCTACCCTTGGACATAAAATGGTATCATCTTATTGGTCAATATTTATTTAACGTGTTACTTTCCTACTGGCCATTATTGTACAATGTTATCTTCTATTTTGTGGTACGTTGTGGACTGATTGACTGGTATATAAACAAAGTATGTTTGAAATATAATGATTCATATATCCGAGGCTGAAACTTGTGTTCTGGACTCAATTGGCTGGGCTATACAGGGAAGCGAGACCAATCAGAACTCTAGGTCGTTCTACGTGTTTGCGCGTCTTTGGTCCGATCAATAATTCGCTACCCCTTAACCAGGAGCATTTATTTTTCACGTTATAACAGTCTTCCACATTTTCTTTTTCCCTTCAGGGCTCTAAGTTAGGGCTTGCCTCATAATCCAGCTTCATTTCCGTAATGTATGTCCTATCCACCTCGAACGTCTTTGCCTATTTTTTCAGGTGGAAGTTAACTTGTTCTCATAGTAGGTGGTTGCTAGTGATATCCGACCGACGGAAATTGAGTACCTTGGTTAGACAATTGTTTAGAAATACTTGTACGCTTTTTCTGGTTTGTAGTAGTTCTCCACGTTTCAGCCCCGTACAATAAAACTGTGTTGACTTCGATATTGCAGGTACTGATTTTGATGTCGGCCAACAGTTGTTTTTAGTTTTATATATTCTTCAAATGTAGGGATGCTGTCCAGGTACATAAAACTTTACATCCCTTGCAGAGCTTCTCTATCAAGTGTGATTGTGTTGGTGCTGTGTTGTATTTCACGATCTTACTTTCTCGCTCGTGTGCGTTGAGGCCTATTACCGCAGAGGCTGCTGATACACTGGCTGTCGACACCTGCATTTGTCGCTGTATATGGGATAGAAGGGTCAGGGCGTCTGCAAAGTCCATATTGTCTAGTTGTGTCCAAGCAGTCCATTGTATTCCGTGCTTCTTCTGATATACAAATGTTCTAATAATTCCATCAACAATCAGAAAAGAAAAGTAGGCAGCCTTTCTGACACCGCTCTTCATTTGGAATGCATCTGTAAGCTGTCCTCCATGCACGACTTTGCAGTGTAGTCCATCGTATAAATTCCGTATGATGTTGATGATCTTCTTAGGTACACCATAGTGTCGAAGAAGGTTCCGTAATATTCTATCCACACTGCCATACGCTTTGTCATGATCGAGGAGGTTGATGTGGCAATTTCCATTCAACGGATAGCTCGACAATGATACATAGTGTCAATTTACTCAAATACAATAGACCAAAGATCCTTTTTGGAGTGCTTTCAGTGTATATTGTTTTATAGTAAACAATGGAATTGAAGATTTGCTATATTCGTTAACAACAAAATAACCAATTGTTATTAGTATCAATACCTAAAAATATTCTATCCAGACAAGTGAACGCTATTCCAAGTTTCACAACACTTGGAACAATACGTCTGCTAAAATTATTTACGCATAACTTAGGCATTGTACTCCATTTACATGCCTGAAATGAATACCAATTGAATAGCCGAAAACCAATATCTTAAGAATTTTGGTTATATTACTAACACTTTAAGTTCACAATGCATGAACTTTTCACATGATTTTCATTTAACTAACTCATTCTATTGACTAAAGTCAACATCCAAATATGATTGGATTAGCACAGTATAGATTTGATTTAATTAGTAAACACTATTTACATTTCTTTAGTAATTTTGATTATTACCCTGAAGAAGTCCAAACAATTTTGCTGGACGAAACGTTGGAAGTATTTAAATTTTAATCGCTGGGATTATTCCAAATATAATTTTCACACATATAATGACTTCTGTATACTCGGCGCCCAATTTTTGTCAAACTATTCGTTCTAATCTTGACTATCGTAACCAATGGTTGGAGACTCTTGGTGACATGGCTCAGAATCGATCACAATGGCGTCGGTGTATACACTCTCTGTCTTCCCTTAAACTAAGAGATTAAAATCGCTTCATATCTTTCTTTCTATGAACTAATTCTTTCTTCCTGTACTATATCCTTATTGCAATCTTTCTTTTATATATTACCACCATTGAATTAACTACTTTTATGAATCCGGTGTTCATCTTGTTTTGTTATTGAGGTATGGCAACTTGGACCGATGGATATATGTGCCTGGTCCTACGTTGTAGCTAACTGGCTGACGAATATTAGTATAAAATACTAACACTTTTTCTTTAGTTTTGACCAATCTCAAGTGTAAGAGGATGCAGATGTTCCCTGTGAATGAAAGTGAATCGTTTTTTGTGATTTATCAATTATTTCATATTCTGTGCACGAGATTATTTAAATTTCCATCGTTTTCATCTTCATTCTTTTGAAACAGCGGAATAAACAAAAACTTTATATGATAAAAGAAAATATTTTTAAGAAGTTTTTTCAAAGCAAAAACTTATTTAAAATAGTCCAATCGACAAATAGTAATTAATTAAAACATTGTGTAGGGAAATAAAGAGAATAGATTAAACTTTACCTATAAATGGGTTATTACAACAAAAACCTATTGCTTATCATTAAAGTGAACAGAAAAAGAGAGTGTGTAGTAAGAACAAGATAGATGAAAGTAATATCTGTCAAATCATCAACTTGTTTATATTGGTTACGAGGAAATCAAGGTCAAAAGATCATATATATATACCAATTTGAATCATTATTTAAGCAAAACAAGAAAAAAAACTATATCAACGACAATTGATTCGTATCAGTGTAATAGAAAAACAATATTTGTGAGTAAGTGAAGAGAAAAGACGCTACAAATACAAACATTTTTTACATACATTTGAAACGGACTACTGGGATTAAAATGCTGTCCCGATAAAATAAAAGATTTGAATTTATATGGTAGAAAATTTAACATGAATTATAATGTCAAACATTTGATTATTCATTTTTAAATATATCACAGTTGATCTATGGGAACAACGAAATGTATAAGGTGACATGATAATTTGTTTGTATTTTCTATAAGATATGCACGTTTGACGACAGTTAAATTCATCCAAACTATCAGACAGTTAGCTGACAAATTTTATGGATTCAGTGGACTTTTGCCAAGATATAATGAAGTTAACTGACTTTTAACCTGAAATTGAGACGAATAAATATATCATGTATTGTCAATGAACTTTTAAGATTGGTAGAAATCGGAGCGTTAGGAGTTTACGCTAAAAAACGAAACCTGTTAACATATGAAGGGAGACAAAGTTAGGGAGGGAATCAGTGACCCTGTATGATCTTTGTATAGCCCCAAAAAATGACAAATATTAATAAGTGGGAGGTCACATATTATATAATGAATCAAAAGTCGACTACAAAGTTTTGAAACTACTAACAATATTGAGAAATTTTAATTTAAGTACATTGAGGTAAAATAAATAGACAATTTAAACTTTTGTGAAAAAAATTACACATGGCTAAGAAAAATACAAGACTTCAATGGTATGTATAAAACTTAAAAGCCTTGTTTTTGCCACTAACTGAATTTATCTGGTTGACCATTGACGAGGACGGCAAAGCACTATACGGCAATGTCGTTTTACTTTGTAACTTCTTGTTAATGTACACCAATGAGGAATACGACGAAAGACTTTAAGGACTCACGATAAGAACAATATCTGTATCGTAAAATAACTGAAGTTGGAAATGTCATTACTGGGCTTCGATTCAGTGGTCTACAGCTATTATTAAAACCTAAAGGCAATGAGTTCGATCCTTAGTGAACTCGCCAGTTCGCGTCGTTGATGAGATCTGAACTACGATAAAATAGATTTCTACTTCATATTATTTTTTCATGGCTTTCCAGTTGATTTCAGTTTGTGATGAAAACTATACTGAATGTGTTCTAACATTTAAAAAAACATAAACACATCATACGTTACCTGAGATAAATACATTTCATTGTTTGGTGCCACGTTGTTATTTGCTGAGTGAGAAACGTAATTCCCAAACGTTTGATTTGGTAATGTTTGATTCATATTCATATTCCATAACTGAGATAATGTGTTCGTGCATGGATTATTACGGTTGGAGTTTAAGGTATTACTGAAATCAAACGACTGATTCGGACGAACAATGTTCTGATTCGGTTGTATTGCAATAGATGAGCATGCGGAAGTATTATTTTCAGGCCAGACAGCGAAATTAGGTGACGGAGGCTTGCAAATTCAAAACAGAAAGAGAAAAACAATTAATTACAATATGAAAAGCCACAAGTCAAATGTGTAACATGGGGAAATCTCAGAACATGAACTGTGTTGTTATGAGCAACATTTAGTTGCTTAGTGATTAAAATGGTAGGCATTCAACAATTCATGTTGCAAGTTTGAATCATCGATCATCGATCGAGTAAGAGGACACAAAATTGGAGTTTAATTCCGAAAATATGATCACAAACTTAGCAGCTGAGTAGCATTATATTAAATTGTTATTTTTAAAATGAGTTATCCTTGTTGTACAAGGCTGAACGACATACATGAAATCAATTACGGATATATGAAGTTTAAGGATCAAACCAAAACGTGGCATTAGTTCAGGAAGTCACTGACAGATTATATGTTGGTAGATACAAACTTGATTGGGGTCCTAGAGATTATAAATAATTGTAAGAGATACTGGGTGATAAAGTTCAGAATCATTCACAAAGATGCAAATCTTTTCTTCTTATCAATCTTGGATTCCAGGATTCCTAAATACATACTCTTCCACTCTGTCTTCTCAAGCCATATTCACAAGGTTCAGTTTTCCTTTTATCACTACTACCATTACCATTACACCTCTTTCGATCTATTTTGCTATTTTCATTGGTCTTACTAATCTTTCAGGGCAACTTGTGCTAACGCACATTTATGCCAGGAAATATACTGATGATGCCTGTCTGTTTGAAGTTTACCACAAGCTGATACCGAAAGATAACTTTCACACCTCATTAATTGAAAGTTTGTACAATATATAAAGCAATTTAAATGAGGAGTTACCAACTCAATATTTTACTGGTACGGCGCACTGTCAACAAGAGCATATCTTTTAAAAATGCTTAACCTTATGAACGTTACTTTTAAACATGTACTAAATGAATGCTCAAAATTTCAAAGGATTAGTGATAAGTTTGTAGGACGAATAGTACACTCTACTACACTAGAATACCTAAAACAATATTTGATGTATTTTTCATGTTCGGAGTTTTGACTAAATTTAAACCTAAGTACCAGGAAGATCAGCAATGCAAGCAACTATACTCGGTTACATTTTCAGTCATCCTTAGTATAAAAATATACAAATAGCTTAATTTAAATTATCAATACTAAACTAAACCATAAACGTACTTGAGAACATAACATACATGAAACATATTAACTGGATCCCTTTTAAAAATTAAAACTATGGTAAAAAGAAAAGCTTACAATGCATAATTTACTCACAATAAATTGCGATGATCCATTCAAATTATTAGTTCCAGCTGGATTTATGCCCAAACCGTATGATAAAAATTGATTGGGAGGAAAATGTGGCTCCTTCGTTTCCCCATTACCTTAAAAAGACGATAAGATTTCTCATTCACTTAAATTATCACAAATGGAGGAATCAACAACAAATACACACATGGCTTATAAATGCACAGACGAGAAATAACCTACCAACCGAATAATCATAATATTAGGAAAATAAGCTAAACACAAAAGTTACCATAGTTACAGAAAAGAAACCATAATGGAATTGGATGCATACTAGTCAACTTCTCACGCTTCGTGAAAAACTTGATTTTTGGGCATGATTAAGCCTATTACACATGAGGAAGAATAATTTTTCTTACCAAAAGTAGCTGAACTACAATCAACGCAGATGCTGACAAAATGCAGTCTCCTGACCCCCTTGAGCGGTAATGCAAGGATGTTCGGAGTGTTTCTAGCTGTCTAAACACAAAATATCACCTCAAGACTGATCTGCATCAATGCTCGAAGTGATGTTATAGAGTGAAGTGGTTGGTTTTATTGACCACTTCACTTATTCTGGGTGTCATCAGTCCTGATGGCTTATGCCTGACGAAATCTCGACATCGATTCAGAAAGCTCGGCTAGTGTTTGCCAACTTGCTTCGCTTGAGGGGTGCACAAAATGTTCGTCTATCAACCAAAGAAAGTGTGTACTGTACAGCAGTCCGCTCTGTTATACTTTATGATTGCGCAGCATGGTCCTTGAAAGTAGAACATATGCGTATGCTGAATTTCTTTGGTCATAGGTGTCTTCCAAGTATTGCTCAGGTTTAGTATGACGATTGAGTGAGCCATGTTGCAGATGGTACTCGGTAAAGATAGACAAACTGGTCGATAACATCGTAAATCCTCATTAATTGAGGTGGTTACGACCTGTGCTATGCATACCAAATACATCGACAAGATGTTTAGTAGCGCAGAAATAGTTTGGAAGAAAACTAGGGGCGCCAAAACCAAGACATGGCATTAGTTCACTATAATGTTGTCTTTAAGTCTCAACCACACATTTCCTTTTATTTACAAATAATAAGTAATACCACTGCATATAACAATAATGAATTACTTATAGATGAGTTTCACATTTACGTGAGAGCAAATTTCAGAAAATTTCTACTCTGCTAGTTCATGTTCGTACAGAAACATATAAATAATTGTTTAAGATTTCTTTACAAGATAAAATAAGTGTACTAAACAAATTAAGTAATATCATAAGTGGCCATTCTTAATTAAGTAAGAAACTAGCAATCTTCTAATTATTATAATTACACCAGGAGTTTTCTTTTACCAGTATAAAGAACTGTAAATTTTCGATATTAAACTGTAAACCTGATTACATTTCATCACACTTTGTATCATGTAGGTCAGTCAGTTAGTCATAAGCAACGTAGAAGATGGAACATTTGTGAATCGGTTTAAGTGGTGACACGTCAGCCCACAGAAAGGTTCCAGAGAACAAGTGTGGATGACCATACGCTATTACGAATGACTCTAACCCATATCACTCAAAGCTCCAACAATTGGTTACGACAATCGTGTGGACCTCGACCTGGTAATCTGGATCAATACCAAGTAATGATTTGAAGGACCCACTTGTTTGCATTTACAAATATTTGCAGGCCTGGGATTCATGTTCACGTAATAAGGAAAAATATACCATATAACAGTTGCGTTAAAAGTGATTTACAGCATGAGCTTTCATTTGGGAAACATAAGTCTGCTAAAATACAATCATTTATGGAGTAGAATGAAAATATGCCTACAATTACGAAAACATAAGTTACTTAGTACATGATATAGTAAACCATCTATAAAGTAACATATTATTTATCAAATAATGTAAAAACTACTAATTTAAAAATTTATAGCTTATAGACAACCTTTGTAAGAGTAAAACGGTCAGCCAGTCAACTAAAATGTAGGACCAGGCACATATATCCATCGGTCCAAGTTGCCATATCTCATTAGCATAACAAGATGAACACCGGATTTATAGTAGTTAATTCAATGGTGGTAATACATAAAAGAAGGATGGCATATAAGGATACAGGACAGGAAGTAAGATTCAGTACGTAGAAAGAAAGATATGAAGCGATTTTAATCTCATAGATTAACGACCCGACCGTTGTTGCTACCTTGACGTGGTGGTCGGGCTTGCCTATCGTGATGAAGCAACTGAGCTATACTGGCTGGAACAACTATTCCTCAAGGTCCTACCATGTCAGACAGGTTGGTTGATGAGCGGTAAGACTAAAAGCAACAAACCCAAGGTCCGAAGGCGAAGTCGTACTGCTGACTGTACAGAGGTGTGACAGCGGTAAGGTGTTTCCTTCAGACAACCAGCATGACAGCGATGCTGTCTTCTCACAAGGAGGGGTGGGGTTAGAAAAGGTCGACCCTAAAATTACACACCTCGCCTTATCCCACGGATATCCGTAGCCGGCGGTAAGGTCTCAATTACACATAAAAAAGTCGTGTGTGACCGACCTCAAGCAGTTGTCCCTTGGGCACTGCGTTCACGCTCTCGGGTCACTAAGACCACCTCTAATCCAATTTCCTTTTCAGGTACCCCCAGAATAACCCTTCCACGGTGTGAGCAACCAGGAAGTGATAACCGCCCTCATACCTCTAACAGCACTCAAGACTACTGTATTCATAATCAACCTCCCTCTTCAATCCCTATTATTCCTCCTACATAGACTTTCACCTCTAAACTTTATTTTTCGGCTTCCTCCTCAAGTGTCACCATAGCCAACGATTCTAGTGCGCAAAACACTGTCCCAGGTCTACTGAAACCCCGCCCCAAACTACACATTGGAGCCTTCAACGTACGCACTCTAAGTCAAACCGGTCAGCAGGCTTCCTTGGCTAGAACCCTAGAATCTCGTACCACTGATGTATGCTGTGTCTCCGAAACACGCATACAGGATTCCAGTGTGGTCATTCACCTGACCTCACCTCGGCAAAACGGAGAGCCAACGAGGTACACCCTTCGTGTATCTGGTGACCCGATGGCCAGTTCTCGTGGACTGGCAGGTGTAGGCATAGCACTAAGCATGAGGGCCGAACAAGCACTGCTAGAGTGGATCCCCGTCAACAGTCGTTTATGTGCTGTTCGGCTAAACGGCTCCGTAAGAACTCGGAAGGATAGGGACACACGTCGTTGCCTTTTTGTCGTTTCTGCCTACGCTCCCACCGACTGCAGCTCAGATGAAGTGAAAGATGAATTTTACAGAAAGCTATCTGAACTTCTTCAGAAAGCTAAACGTCCAGACATAGTACTCGTAGCAGGTGACTTTAATGCCCAGATAGGTAGTTTAAACCAAACAGAAAGGCTTTTAGGTGGGTATTTTAGTATTCCGGCTCAGCGAACAGATAATGGTGATCGTCTGCTGCAACTATGCTCAGACAATCGTTTATTTTTAGCAAACACAAATTTTAAGCATAAGGAGAGACATCGTCTAACATGGCGACCCCCTACACCAAACCAACGATGGACTCAAATAGACCATATTTCCATCAGTCATCGTTGGACAGGGTTGGTAGAAGATTGTCGCTCATTCTGGAGTACCTTCTTGGACTCCGACCACGCCCTAATACGAGCACGCATCTGCTTGCGCCTCACTGGAGGTAAAAAAGCCACATTAAAAAGACCCATTAGAACTGAATTGAGTAGCGAGAAAACCAAAAGTAGGTTCCAGGAACAACTGAGGTCACAATTACGTAGTTCTGAAAACGAGGTTGACGCAGATGTTGTTTGGCAAGCTATACAAACAGCTATGGAAACAGCAGTGACATCTATCAATGACTTAAACCACAGGGTTACAAAGAACCAATGGATTTCCTCTGGGTCTATTGCACTGATGGATGGGTCCCCCAACTCTAGCAGAAGTTCAAAAGGCTATACTTAATCTGAAACGAGGAAGGGCAGCTGATCCAGATGGATTGACTCCAGAGGTCTTTAAGGATGGTGGTTCAATTTTAGCGATTAGGTTGACTAATGTTTTAGCTAAGATCCGGGAGTTAGACGTTATTCCATCTGACTGGTCACAATCACTTATCGTCCCAATATATAAAACAGGGTTGAAATCATTCTGTAACAACTATAGAGGAATTAGTTTAACTAATATATCTAAAATACTAGCCTCGATAATTATAAGACGCCTAACTAAGACTCGTGAACTGCAAACACGAGAGAATCAAGCTGGCTTCAGACCTGGTCGTGGCTGCCTCGACCACATAGTCACCATTCGTCAGGTTCTAGAACACAGGCATACTTATCGGCGTCCGACAATGGTGGTCTTTCTTGACTTGAGAACAGCATTTGACCCCGTAGACCGCGAGATCCTGTGGCAGTGTCTGTCATTGAGAGGCTTGCTTCAGAAGTACATGAACCTTGTGAAGGCTTTTTACTCGAACACTACCAGTCGGGTCAGAGCTTATGGTGAACTGTCATCTACTTTTGAAACCTCAAGTGGTGTCCATCAAGGCTGTCCACTTTCTCCATTTTTGTTTAACTTCATCATAGACCTATTGATGAAAATAACATTCACGTCGACTGAATTCTCGGGTATTGACCTCCTTCCAGGAGGTCCACTTAGTGGCTTAGAATACGCAGATGACATAGTCCTGTTTGGTGAAGACGCTAATAAAAGGCAGGGTCTTTTGGTAGCACTAAGCAACAATGCCAGAATGTTTGGAATGCGCTTCTTTCCCTCTAAATGCAAGTTGTTGCTTCAGGACTGGTCTGCGTCAACACCTGAACTAAGGATAGGGAGTGAAGTAGTCGAACGCGTTGACAACTTCACTTATCTTGGAAGTCTGATCAGCTCTAATGGGTTGGTGTCTGACGAAATCTCAGCACGGATTCGAAAAGCTCGCCTGGCTTTTGCCAACTTACGTCACCTATGGCGAAGGCGAGATATCCGTCTATCAATAAAAGGACGAGTATACTGCGCGGCAGTCCGTTCTGTTTTAATTTACGGCTGCGAAACATGGACATTAAGAGTAGAAGACACTCGTAAGCTACTAGTATTTGACCACAGATGCCTTAGAAATATTGCTGGCGTCTGCTGGGATCACCGGGTAAGTAATAGTGAAGTTAGACGCAAGGTATTAGGGAATGATGGTAAATCAGTTGATGAGGTTGTGAATCTTCATCGACTGAGATGGTTGGGCCACGTGTTGTGTATGCCTGAACGCCGGTTACCACGACGTGCAATGCCAACCGGTGTTCGGGATGGTTGGAAGAAAGTTAGGGGCGACCAAACCAAAACGTGGCACTAGTGCTTAAAGCTACTAACTTCTAGTCTGAGCCATGTTGGTAGATGCAGACTACTTGGTTGGGGTCCGCGTGACTATCGTAACCAATGGTTGGAGACTCTTGGTGACATGGCTCAGAATCGATCACAATGGCGTCGGTGTATACACTCCCTGTCTTCCCTTAAACTAAGAGACTAAAATCACTTCATTCTTTCTTTCTACGAATTAATTCTTTCTTCCTGTACTATATCCTTATTGCAATCTTTCTTTTATATATTACCACCTCTGAATTAACCACTTTTATGAATCCGGTGCTCATCTTGTTGTGTTAATGAGGTATGGCAACTTGGATTGATGCATATATGTGCCTGGTCCTACGTTGTAGCTGACTGACTGACTGACAGATTAACGAAAGACAAAGAGTGTATACACCAACACCATTATGATCGATTATCAGACATGTCAATCATAGTCGCCAACCACTGGTTACGATAGTCGTGCGGATCCCAACCAAGTAGTCTTCATCTACAAACGTGGTTCAGATTAGAAGTTAGTGACTTCAAGCACTGATGCCACGTTTGGAGACATACGCATATAGGAATTCAACATAGTAACAAAATGCTGTAGTGATTAGTGATAACTACCTAAGAGACGGATAAACGATTAACCCTGATTCAAAAGGAAGTCACAATGACTAAACTACCATAAAAATTTAAAATAAATATAACTTAAAAACCCATAAAACGAAAATCGAGGCACAAACAACAACAACAAAGATAAAATAAATACCAACTATATAAAAGAATGAAACTGAAATGTTGTTTACGAAATTGTGAGAACGAAAAGCGAACGTCCGGCGCCTTAATCGGGTTGGTGGATATGGAGGATTCCCCTAGAAGGGTTGGAAAACCCTGAGTCCAAACCAATTGTGCACATGGACTCTAGGATCCTGAGGGAGCAAAATAACTATGGAACTATGGTTGGTCACCGGCTACTATGGGATATCATCTCCTTACGTTGCTCCACTGCCTTGTGGATTAGACCTTCAAGTCAAAGGCTCGGGATGTGACTCCCTAAGAAAACCGCTTGCTTCGGCTTGGGCACCCAGGCAGTATCCCAGACCTCACACGAACCAATGATAACTGCTGCTGGCCTCATTGTTATTGTGTGGCGCATATGTATTTGAAGCACCCTTGTACCAATGTTTATGTGTTCAAATAATAATAAATAATAACGCTAAAAATCAAATGAATATTCAAAATGACATAATACATCACAAGCTTAATCAGATCACATTAAGCTTCATATATATTGTATCGAAAATCATACAATGATGTTACTGGAGGACACTAAAGACGAAAATGATACCTAGTGAGAATATAGAGATAACATCCATATATAAATGTTTTACCTAACTAAACTAAACAATAATGAAAGGAGCTTAGTTATAATACGTGAGTTAAAAGAATGATGAATTAATTCATAAGTAGATGTTGTATGAACTAATAGCACTGAAAATAATGTTAAACAAGGAAGATAATAATAAATATGATTGGTGAAAATAATCGTTATTCAACAGAATCAACTTTTAGATTTTAAAATCGCTTTTGTACACTGATTTGTACAATAATTAAAACGTACCCGAATTGTTTATATTTTTGTTATGCGTAGAATTATCAAGTGGAGGATTACATCCAAAGTATTGATTTCCTGAAAAGTTAGAAGTTGAGAAGTGTCCCATAGTTCCTGGATACAATGCGGAATTCAAACTACTTGACTGTGGTGCGCTTTGCTGATACAAAGCCAAGATTGAATCTTTGGTTATCTTTGACGTGGATCCTGAAGACACTTGTCCATCATTAGCTACATTTGTAGTCTTTTCACCGACCAGGTTAGTGCATCCAAAGTCCAAACCCAGAAGATCAGATGTCAAGCTAGATGCAGTATCCTGCATAAAAAATTGTGAACATGTGTGATATAGCGTACAAACAGTGATTATTTATCTAGCTGCATTTCGATTTTTCTTAATAAAACAATGATATTTATACGAAATACTTACTTTAGGTTTTTGTATATGTTGGGTCGTATCTACTAGTGAGCTGACTGGTTGTTGTCCAGCAGTTGACTGTTTTTGTTGATTTCCAAAAGTTGCTTGACTAAAACCACCGTGATCAAATAGATTATTTTTATTTTCTGGACTAGAAGCACTGTCAAGCCCCAGAAGGTCAAAATCGTTGTTTGTCCTGTTAACATTATCTGTTTCAGATGACTTGAAAAGAGAAAATCCATGACGCAAAATGAGAGCAAGCCAGTAAGCATAATAAAGAAGCGAGACATATGAGTTAATAGGATAAAATAATTGATATACTCAAGGACTGATACACAGAATAATTACAACAGAATCAGAGTAAATGAAAAACAGAATAAGTCTATAAAATGGGTAGTTATATTTGTCAAACGCTACGAAAATTAAACAAAACATTTTATTTTATCCATAACACAGAACATTTCGTACAACACGAGACCAAAAACGTGTACCATACAAAGCAACTCAGTAAAAGACTCTTACTTTAGCGGCAGTACCATAATAAAATAATCAGCTTACTGTTACTGGTAGCTCCTTAGATGGACGATGCGTTCTGCTGGTAGGCTGTTGTAAATGAGCACCCAAGCTCACAGTAGGCGATTTTTTCTTTTGAGACAATTCAAGACGTTGCAATTCCTAACCGAACAATCAAAAATGTAACTGATGTAAGCTCATAACAATAACAGGCAGAAAACTTTATAAGCTCTATATAAAATATATTTATCGACAAAATATTCTGAAAAGTCCTCTATATCAGTGAAATTCAAGTAAAGGTAAAGGTGGTGTAATGCCCACCTATTTCATTCTAGATATATTCCGAGAATCCGTTATTCTGACCTCCTAATCGAGATTTTATGGTAACATCTAAAAACTCCGTTGAAAAACATAATACATCACCAGACATTCGCTAAATAGAATCATGGTGACATAAATTGAGCCTATTCGAATGAATGTTGATTATGGACGCCTATTTACGCTATTTCCACTAATCTTATGTATCTTGATGAGGGTCAATCGCATCTCGACAACTCAGTGCGCGATCAACATCGTAGTAGTCTTTTACTATAAAGCTACTACACATGGGTATGAACGGTAGTTAGCATAAAAACATGAGTATTTGACAAATGTTTTATAAAGGTTTTTCGTTTGTGGTAAGACTTCATTGAGTAGGCCCCCAAATGCCCTGGTACGACTGAGAGTGGGAAGAGTTCGCTCTCCCTCTCGAAATGCTCTCACATGGTCACGCGTATATAGCCTCTGCCAGGGAAGTCCTACTCACTGCCTTCTCGTGGCATTACTGTTGTTTACGGAAATGAAAGGACGAAAAGCGAATGTCCGGCGCTTTAACCGGATTCCAAACCAATGGTGCACATGGGCTCCAATATCCTGCGGGAACAAATGACGTATGAACCAATTGTTGGTCACCGGCTTCCATGGGACTGCATCTCTTTACGATTCTCCACTGCCTTGTGGATCAGACCTTCCGGTCGAAGGCTCGGGGAGTGGCCCCATAAGAAAACCACCTGCTTCGCTTTGGGCACCCGGGCAGTATCACAGCCCTCACACATATCGAATGAGATTTGTGTGGCGCATATGTATTTGGTGCATTCTTGTACCAATATCTATGAGTTAAAATAAATAAATCATTGAGTACAAAGGGGAAAGGCAAGTTGATCCTTTCGATGGTCTACACAAGAAGGGTTAACGAAATTAAACTAGTGATCTAAGTCCAGTTGAAACCAAGTCTACCTGTTAATATTCATAGTCAATAGGAACTGTTAGTTGATTATCAGTCAGTCAGTCAGCAACAACGTAGGACCAGGCATATATATCCATCGGTACAAGTTGCCATATCTCATTAGCATAACAAGATGAACACTATCGTAACCAGTGGTTGGCGACTATGATTGACATGTCTGATAATCGATCATAATGGTGTTGGTGTATACACTCTTTGTCTTTCGTTAATCTGTCAGTCAGTCAGTCAGCTACAACGTAGGACCAGGCACATATATGCATCAATCCAAGTTGCCATACCTCATTAACACAACAAGATGAGCACCGGATTCATAAAAGTGGTTAATTCAGAGGTGGTAATATATAAAAGAAAGATTGCAATAAGGATATAGTACAGGAAGAAAGAATTAATTCGTAGAAAGAAAGAATGAAGTGATTTTAGTCTCTTAGTTTAAGGGAAGACAGGGAGTGTATACACCGACGCCATTGTGATCGATTCTGAGCCATGTCACCAAGAGTCTCCAACCATTGGTTACGATAGTCACGCGGACCCCAACCAAGTAGTCTGCATCTACCAACATGGCTCAGACTAGAAGTTAGTAGCTTTAAGCACTAGTGCCACGTTTTGGTTTGGTCGCCCCTAACTTTCTTCCAACCATCCCGAACACCGGTTGGCATTGCACGTCGTGGTAACCGGCGTTCAGGCATACACAACACGTGGCCCAACCATCTCAGTCGATGAAGATTCACAACCTCATCAACTGATTTACCATCATTCCCTAATACCTTGCGTCTAACTTCACTATTACTTACCCGGTGATCCCAGCAGACGCCAGCAATATTTCTAAGGCATCTGTGGTCAAATACTAGTAGCTTACGAGTGTCTTCTACTCTTAATGTCCATGTTTCGCAGCCGTAAATTAAAACAGAACGGACTGCCGCGCAGTATACTCGTCCTTTTATTGATAGACGGATATCTCGCCTTCGCCATAGGTGACGTAAGTTGGCAAAAGCCAGGCGAGCTTTTCGAATCCGTGCTGAGATTTCGTCAGACACCAACCCATTAGAGCTGATCAGACTTCCAAGATAAGTGAAGTTGTCAACGCGTTCGACTACTTCACTCCCTATCCTTAGTTCAGGTGTTGACGCAGACCAGTCCTGAAGCAACAACTTGCATTTAGAGGGAAAGAAGCGCATTCCAAACATTCTGGCATTGTTGCTTAGTGCTACCAAAAGACCCTGCCTTTTATTAGCGTCTTCACCAAACAGGACTATGTCATCTGCGTATTCTAAGCCACTAAGTGGACCTCCTGGAAGGAGGTCAATACCCGAGAATTCAGTCGACGTGAATGTTATTTTCATCAATAGGTCTATGATGAAGTTAAACAAAAATGGAGAAAGTGGACAGCCTTGATGGACACCACTTGAGGTTTCAAAAGTAGATGACAGTTCACCATAAGCTCTGACCCGACTGGTAGTGTTCGAGTAAAAAGCCTTCACAAGGTTCATGTACTTCTGAAGCAAGCCTCTCAATGACAGACACTGCCACAGGATCTCGCGGTCTACGGGGTCAAATGCTGTTCTCAAGTCAAGAAAGACCACCATTGTCGGACGCCGATAAGTATGCCTGTGTTCTAGAACCTGACGAATGGTGACTATGTGGTCGAGGCAGCCACGACTGGTTGATTATAATGTAGTTAATATTGCATAATACTAGAAAGAACAGACATTATCTTTCCATTAGCACTGGGTGTAGTTTTCCAGTACATTATCCTGATTTCATATCGTTGTACTAATATGTTATGACAACTTGGACCAACCCACATTAGTGCCAAGGCTTACGCTAATTATGACTGACTGGCAATTTCGACACAATACATAAAAGGTCAAAACGAAGCAAGATGATGACACAGGTGTTTGTATCGGGGAAGCTTCTCTGCCCCGCTATTCTTCTACATATTATTTACAGAGCCATAAGTTATTTTGACAAGGATGTGTTGGTAAGAATGCAATATGACAAATTTAGAGAACGTTATTATATTTTTAAATATGACATCGGCTCAGTATAAAGACATTTCGAGACGAAAATACAGTTTTTGGATCTACTTTCGATTGGTGATTGGCATATTAGTCCAGACCACAGCAATTACTCCGACTTGGTCTTTGAGGTTATATTTTATGACGTACCCCTAAGACCTTATTTTCTGGAACACATTACTTAAGATTGTACCACGCAGGTTGATTAGAGGGCCTCAAACTTAAGGTCCGAGGACAGATTAATGCTGTCAAATTAACAGGGATGAGGAAATTGTTTCCTTCAGATAACTAGCATATGCAGTGTTTGCCATACATTTTTAGCAGTCAAAAAGATTATTATTAGAGATACTTGGGAAACCAAAACAATTCGCTCTTAGCCATCTGATCGTAGATTGTAACTCCGTTTCATCTACCTCAATTATATTACTCGGGCACTACTATTTGCATTTGTTGACAGATTCGTCCGAAGCCAATTATATGAATTACTTTAAGAAATTGACATACAGAAGAATTATGGTCCAGACAAATAAACTAAATGGAAAGTTCACTGAACAGCAACTTACCCCATATTTATCAACGCGCATAGTGAATGACTTTCGAAGTCAAATGGTAAATATTAGTAAATAGATTATATTGATCTCAGAAGGGTTATTCACTCGAGAAATTTGTGGAGAGGCTGCGATCTCCTATCCCTAATTCGAGGTAACCTGCTGAGTAGTTATTGGAACGGAGTGATATCCTCTAAAACTGGTAGAAGTGACAGGTGCTTTCATCATTTCGTTTCCTTTTAGCGTAGCAACATGCATAAACTACCATTCCAGTTAGTTCATCTCCTGTTTTTCCTTTAACTTTATTAGCTATATTCTTTTCATCTGTCCTAATTTCTAAGTCTGCTGTAATATGGTGTAATTAATTTGATTGTTACATTTACATCACATTTTATCGAATTTAATATCTGCCACAAACCATTTCAAGATTTCCGTAGAACCAAAAATACTGTGTCGAGCGAACGAACTGCTGAACAATATAAGTTTGAAAACTCTAACATGTATTCTTTAGCCACCGAGAAAGTTTTTCCGGAAAAAATTAATAAAAACCGACCAGGTCTAGACAAGAGTTGCTTAACATTTAAAAGCAAACAACAATGATGAGTTCACATCAGGGTGATTTATGGGATAGAACAACACTGACAAACGTAGTATGTTAATTCGGACCTACTTTCATTAATGATTCTACATCGGGTTTACTTGGGGTATATTCTTGCGCTATGTACCGTTTCTGTTCATACTTTGCTCGAATGAACGTCTCCAACGCAGCATCTGTCTGTGGCCTTCTAAAATTATCGGGCAAATTTGCTTCATATACAGCTCGTGCTCTGCTATTACCCATTTCCCTCATAACCTAAAATGAATGATTACTGTTCAACTCTCTCTTACAGCCAACTGCATAGGAGTCCATGTATCAAGGTTAACTGATTTAACTTTGGATATATGAACACCCAGATTGCGATGTATCCCTGCACATCTTATGCACAAGAAAATGCCAATATTCCAGGAAGCCCAACGTGGCCCTAACCTTGCTAAGATATAATATATGACTTACCTTTCGCGTCACAATCTGCGCAGTACTTATTGTCGTCATCACGAAGTAACTCCTGAATTATGAGCTGATGTCTTTCATTTTGCAGTTTAGTATTATCCCGTCTGTTTGAACTACTTGTCATCACAAGATTGAAAAACCCTCACAATCTATGACCTCGAAATCTCCAATAGTCTTCAATCCTCAAACCTCAAACGTTGATACTAAGCGGTACAGTTTCAGTTTGGAAAGGATAGGAAGCTTGATGGCCTGTGTTAATCCCGGCAATTATGGTGTCTCAGTTGATATAATTTTCAAATGAAAGTACTGACGGATGGAGCCTCAATCGCGTGCTGAATTAACGAATTCTACTCGTTGATGATTCAATGGGAAAGTCGATAGTCAGCTGACAAGTAATTTGTTCTTGGCTTGTGAACATGTTTTGGACAGTCGTCGTAAAACCTCTGTTTTGGAAGACACGAAAAATTATGGCATGTCAAGTGAAAATTTATCACTTAGTAATTTGAAAACTGAAATCAAGTTATTTCTAGTTCTTCAATCTGACAACGGGAATAGGTTTTACTTGGCCAGTCGAAAATGATACGGGAGCTTCGCTATTCCGGGAATCAGCTTAGTTACTGTTATTTGAAACTTTTCCAAAACCTCATTGTCTTTTTTAAGTAGGGGCTGGCCGCTTGTATGAAGTACACAAGTTTAGTACGCACAAACACTGTATACAAAGTCAAGAAATTTTTAGCATCGACATGAACAAGGGCCCTACGTATTGACCATAAGGTTCTAAAACCTTTGGCGGCTATTGCACTACAGTGGGTAGTAGTCTTTAAGTCTTGGCTAACGATGACTCATAAGTCATCATGTGTCTGGACTACAGATAGCTCCATCATGTATGTATCTGTACCTTGATGATCATTATGCATCACAATACACTTGGAAGTATTTATCGGCAACTGCCAGGTCTTAGACCGTTCAGATAATTCCTTCAGGTCGTCTTGAAGTTCTAAGCTATTACCCTTACGAAAGCAATCCTGACTACTTGTAGGTCTGATTCTTGTTATGTTCATCCTGAAATTAATGGGACAAAACAAGTGATTCAATAACAGTTTGAGTAGTCGAGAGGTACATCCCTCTCGACTTATCAGTGCATTTCCAAAGAGGACAGTGATATTAAACTTGTTGTGAATTAACATTACTTTTGTGTTATTATTACATTAAAAACATACTTTGTCTACTTTAACTTCGATCATTTCGAGAAACGTGTGGAATTTTCTTCAAACCCGCCTGATCGCAGTAATGGATCATGTCTTAGTACAGCGTGTATTTAAAAGCATACGTTTCGGATCAAACCAAGTATTTTCTTCGTGGGACTTACCAACTACCCTGTGACCGAGGATATTGTCTACCTAAATATTTTTTTTATTTTTACCAAGCAGAGATCATGCTGTTTTGTCATTCATGTTTAGAGCTTGTGACATAAAGTATTATCAGGTTAAACCTCACCCGAATGTGAGTAGAGGGAAATTGTCGATCATCCGGGAGTGCACTGCAATAAAGGTGTGGTCGGCTACTTCTTATCCGTCAGTTTAAGAAGCACGGTCCTTATTGAAAGGTACGACTAACTTGTATACATCCCCGTTTACACCGTGCTCAGTACCACATAGACGAAATAACTGTCTACAATGGATAACTAAGCAAGTCAATAAACTTCTTAGACGTAGGAAGACGTATTGGCATATTTTTAGCTCTACGGGCTCTGAACAGTATAAATCCACTCACTGCATGACTAGTCATACTTGCAAAGCTCTGATAAGTGACGCTAGACTAGATTATGAAAATGCCTGTGAAGTTTGTTTTCGTATATAAAGAGGCCAGTTGGTAAAATTCTATCACATTCGATGCAAAAAAATCCGTCGATTCAAGCAGCAAGTACTTGTTTTAAGTACAGAGCGGACATGCTGAAATGAGATCTTGAACCAATTGATGTTAGACCATCACAATTGAAAACCTGGAAGCACTGGACGGCCGTTTCGTCCTATTGTGGGACTCCTCAGCAGTGCGCATCCACGATCCCGCGAGCGGGATTCGAACCCAGGGCCTTCGGTCTCGCGCGCGAACGCTTAACCAACTGGACCACTGAGCCGGCATCCAGTGGTGATAGTTTCTAACATCAACCAATCCACGAAATTGCGCGACCCACTTCCATTGTCTTTTAAGTAGATAACTGTCTCTACCCGACAAGGATTAGCTCCACTGGTCACGGCTTCTCACTAGAACTCCGAGAATTCCCTCACGAAGCTAGTCACTAGTGAGCACATGTTGATTACTAGTATGGGGTTGTGGATTGGTTGATGTTAGAAACTATCACCACTGGATGCCGGCTCAGTGGTCCAGTTGGTTAAGCGTTCGCGCGCGAGACCGAAGGCCCTGGGTTCGAATCCCGCTCGCGGGATCGTGGATGCGCACTGCTGAGGAGTCCCACAATAGGACGAAACGGCCGTCCAGTGCTTCCAGGTTTTCAATTGTGATGGTCTAACATCAATTGGTTCAAGATCTCAATTAAAACTTAATAGTCTCCACAACCCCATACTAGTAATGCTGAAATGAGTTTGATGCTGAGGGACCAAAATGGTATAAGGTCTCTCGGCCTATCTTATGAAGACAGACTGAGACACCTTAGCCTATTTCTGCTTATTTCAGCTTATCTTACCGCTGGTTACGGAGTGATCTAATATTGGCTTATCGTATGACCTTACTATAACTGTGTCTCATCACTCCCATCTGTCTAGGACTGACCATCTGAAAGGGCATTCGAAGAAAGTTCAAAAACTGATATCAAATTGTTTACATCTGGATTTTCGTCCGTCGGACAAAGTGGTAAATTAATGAAATTCTCTACCGTAATACATAATATCAGCACCTTCTGTTGATACATTGAATGCGAGACTGGATCTCCACAGTACTACAAATCGCAAGAATTTCTTAGATCGATTGGCCTCGTATCATTAATACTGAAGACTGACTTAAACCTGAACACTTGAAAATCCGACTGTTCCTATGGTAAACTATTGCATATACATCTAGACTTTTAAAAATTTAACTTTGAGATCTAGAAACGAGTTTTTACATCTTTTAAATGCGTCAAACATTCAGTAATTCTTGAATAACATTTACGGTTATGCATTTGCGTTATTATCTAGAGATCTTTGAACACAAAGCAACTGTCAGATCATTTAGATTATTTTACTGATGACATCTATACAAACGTTTGTGAGCAACAAGTCCTGGAGTGCTGGCTTATTTTATTCATTGATATATTCACCGTAGTCTTTGGTCCACATAAGACTGGTGTCATTCATCTTTTCTGTAGTTTTGGTTTGTAGCGGTAAATGAATATCAAAAATAAATAGTTTCGAAGGTCCTTAACATTTGATACTGACCTCATCAGTTTTAATTGTCACCTCTTGCTGAAGGAGCTCGGTCACGCATACGCATCAGATCACGAATGGTTACGCCGTGTTACACATCCATTTTAACTATCAGCCAGCAAAGACCAAGCGTTCCTCAACATACCCAAAACTTTTCAGATATACCATAGAATCTCTTCATTTCTTCTGATTTGACTGATTGGGCATACTTCGATTATAAAGGGTTTACTGGTAAAATTGTTATCAAACTCCGAATGCCTGTGTCATCTTAAACAGTAATACACAATACTTCACAGGTTCGCTTATGTCAGAGAGGAAAGATAATGTGACATAGTTCGATGCTCACCAGTCGTGATTGGCTTCGTATCAACTGAACTCTTTTTGGTTCCGTACTTCTTTAGACTCAAGAGTACGTCTAAAATGTACGGTGAGTTAGTATTTCCTTCTACATAGTTAAGCGCGGTATCACTTTGAATGCCGTTGGGTTCATAAAAGTCCTTACGATACGTGATCAGATGATGTTACTCGACTGTTCGAAAGCCCATGGATACAGAAACAACTTGTCTTAACTTTGAATCAGCCCTAGTAATGCTGAGCAAATTTTATGACCCAAGATAATGCGACAATTTTTTTATTTTTCCCATCCGATATTAAATTACTTTCTTCTTTAAGTACAGTCGTCACTTTATGTTTGCTTGAACTTCTGTTTGGTCGACTTTTATTACTTTTCAATTAAATTACATTGATAAACATAAGTGTGGCCAAGTTGTCCAAAATGTATGGCACAAAAACTTCACATTGTTCAGACAAACTCTTTCTTGTATTTGTTCTGTTAATATTTTCTCTGCTAAATATGCCTTTTGTTGTGGAGTATTAGCAAATACTAAAAAGTAAAAAGGAGTTCACGCTTATCTGAACAGTGCGAAATTGAACCTACCTTTCCGTTACGACAAAAGTCCGTGTCCATTCGGTTGCACCTGGAATCTGGAGTGCATTCTGGACCAAGTTTGGGAACATAAAGTTATTATTACTAAGAGCATTTACAACGTGAGGCCTTAAAACATAGATCCCCTATCCATTTGCTGTGAAATTCTTAAATTTCCGCTAACGACAACGCAGTGGTTAAAATGGTTTTATGCAAGAGTAGTTCCAAACTATATTGTGCAACATCTAGTACAATAGATATGCATTACCGATATATCGCACCTCACATGGCACTTATTCGAGTATGAATTATACAACCGCACACCGAATACTAAAGGTATGAAAGATTATGTTAAACGACAGACGTGTGGCTGCATTTCAGGGTTATTGAGTTTTGTATCTAAAAGCTAAATCTGTAGCTTCTACAGATTCAAACAAATGTTATGGTCTATGTGTTTTCTTGTAAATGTAGTATCGGGGTTACAGTATTTTTATTTATTAAGCACCTCAGTCTTCAAGTCTATTAGAATCTAACTCTTCGCATTGTAGTGTGACTGAATTCCATCTAACTTATTTTACCAGAACAGTAAATACCCAGACGAGATGAGCTCATTAATTCTGACTGATCTCAACAACACCAGAACATACAGAGGTCATGACAAGCAAAGACCATTTGAAGCCCAATTAGATCATTCAAAATAATTTACGTTCAAAGGAGCTCTATCATAAGCGAATCTAAGGTTTAAGTTCCCAATTCACATATCAACGTCAAACAGGCTGTGGAGTAGCAAAGCCTGGGCAGTGAAGATGATGTGATCAATAGACATAATGAGGTAAATGATTGGCTTGCAGTTTCGCCCAGGAAAACAACTGTATGTACGAGAAGATTCTAGGAAACAAAACTCCACAACATCTTAAGACAGAAATCACTGATAGGCCAGTCATCCTC